GACTATTTAAATATCATTAGATGTAACGAGAACTTAGATTTGGTCCTACGCAGATAAATAGATATTTGGAGAAATGTTAATAGTATTGGAAGAAATAAATACATATTATATAGCCAAATTTGAGGAAAAAATATATACATAGATATATATAGCTAATTAGCTATATACATAGCTAATTACAACAGTTTCCTTTGTCACAGTAAGAATAACATGTGAATTTTAAATGCACAGTTTTTTATTTTCTCCGTAACCTTTAAGTGTACAACGATATTAAAAATCAAATTGAATATACAAATATCAAAAATGGTTTGTTTTTTAAGCTCTACACGATGACTTCAATCGAAATTGTGAATTTCCATACTTAAGGGTAAACATTGAAAACCCCCAATTTTGGAAAATGTTTTAACCACATAAAATCCCGTCAAGTTTATCCCGCTGTACACATGCATGCCAAATTTCATCAACGGACACATAGCATATATATCTGAGGACATCAAAACGAAAAAGTAAATCAGTATCGGGTCTAGGTCTTATCGTGCCGACTACTAATAGTTTCTTCCCTATATAGAAATTCACAAATTAAAACAAAACTATTATAACTAGAGTATTAAAAATAAATACGCAACAACAGGACCTAATTTTACCAATAATTATAATATATTTTGTAACGTAATGTTCAAATGCAGAGAAATGCACGGTAAGGGGCAAGTGCCTTCTCCATGTCTAATGGACGACTGAAGCCCTATGTTGCCCCAGTGGCAGTAACTTAATATAGTCATTCTCATATCACCTCATCCAGTCGTCCTGATTTGCTGTCCCGTAGTTGATCCTTGCAAAGGGCTTCTTCTACTGATCTACAAACATCAACACAACAATACACTAAAGACAATGTTGAGATATTCTTATTTTATTCGGTCACATATGTGGAATTTCTGTAATTTACGTAAAACTTTACATTTTTATATTTTTAGCCGATTTCCCATATTGGGAATAAGCTATTAGCGTATATCTCATGGTAATACCTGGGCCCGGGACCGATTTACTTTTTCGTTTTTATGTCCCAAGAGGCCAAACGATTAAGTGAAAAAGTGTCGGAACGAGAACTAGGGTAATATGAGGGTTTTTTTAGACTAAACATTGTTTTTCCTTTTTTGATCCCTAAAACAAAATTTCCCAAATTTTTCCAAACTATTTTGTAGAGCTTAAAATAACAAACAATTCTGGAAATTTTTTTATTAAACAAGCCCACGTTATGTTTGTTGAGAATAATAAGCTGTTGTAGTTTGCATGTATATGGATATATTTTAATCAAATTTGATTTCATAATAAGCTATGAAAATGTCAGTAAAAAACCCACACCTTCCCACCACCCCTGTAACAGCAAACATAAGTACTCATTAAAATCATTAATGTTATTTAATTAGAAAATAAACTGACAATTTTAATAAAATATTTTAGTGGAAATTAAGCCAGTTAAATGGTAATTCACTTGTCTACAGGTTTGCTGCTATGGGAGTGTTTTATCCCACGTTCAACAACTTGATTACATTAAAGTAAATACTATCCCATTTTAATGTGGATTTTGTTGGCGCACATTAAGTAATCAATTCTTTATTGTAGTAGCTTCATTTTTTAGTGGATTCAAATCTCGCAGGGTGTTAAAATGAATGGATCAAAAATACATTTGGTAAAGATATTTTTTTACTCGACCTAACTTCCACGTGCTAATTAACAAACAGTACTAAAACCACCTGTGGTTATTATTGTTTCAGAACGGTGTACAGTGTTTAACATGCTATATAGGCACACAAACAGCTGTATAGGAAGTACTCGCCTTTGGCTCGCCCCCATTGTGGGGTAGTGGCTAATTAGCAGTAGTTAGTATTTAACGTTAGTAGATTGAGTCTTTTGTGCAAGAAAATTAATAAAAATAAAGGGAATCACGATGCTAAAGAAGAAAGTTAAAATTATGTATATTAAAAACCTTTGTATAGAACAATAACCGTAGTAAACATTCATATATATTAATTAAAATGTATTAAATAATATTTGTTTCCTTGTCAGTTAGCCATAAATTGTATGACCAGGGGCGTCGTCTTGGGGGGGGTAGGGGGGGGAGCCTCCCCCCCCTAGAATCCTGGAAAGAGAAAAGTTGGGAATTTCCTTGCCACGAGTTGGGACAGTTGGGAAATCAGATACAAGAAAAATATATTTTTAAACTAAATAAAATTTAAAAATATTTGCGAAAATCCATCAAAGATCAAAATTTCTTTGACTTAGACGAATAAACTTGATGTTTCTTTGATTTAATTTAACTTTGATTAAACTAGGCTAAACCATGGCTAAACACGCCTTATTTTAAGAAATCGTTAACCAATTAACGGTATAGTTTGTTGGAATTTCGTTTACGAGAAATTTTGTTCCTTATTGGACGTATGTTGGCTACCTTGATCCTGTCCTGTGTTGATGATTTTCTGAATGGTTCGTCTGCGAGACTGCGAGTTTGAATTTTGAAAGTGCAAGCGGCGTAGCTCTTCAGTTCAGTTATGTTGTTTGTTAGTGTTTACAAGAAGTTCAAAAATATTTTTCATGTCAGTCAAATAAACTATATTTTATACCTTTTTTTGTAGTATTTGGAGCAGGCTTACTGACAGGAGTACTTGCTAATAGGTAGATTAAAATAAAATAACATTAAAGATAGGTTTTGTATATCGGTATTGCCTTTAAAACTCTAATTTTTAATAACCTAAATGAAATATTTATTCTCTGAATATTATTTAAAAAATCTACAAAAGTGATTTATCATTCCTAATTAAGAATTTACAAAAATGAATCAACTAATCACTCTGAAACAGATCTACATAGACAATAGACAAAACATAACCTAAAATTTGATGTTTGACTTTCACGTTTGAGTTTGATTTTTGTCCAAGTTCTAGTTTGATGAAGAAGAAGGTTAACATTTTTATTGTATGTATAAGTTTATTATCAACCAAGTTGAACGTTTTTATTTTATACAAGTCTTATTTTAGGTTTATTCTTTTCTAGACTAGAATAATATTATTCACAACACTGATAATATTATATAATATTTCATCATTACAAACTTGTTTAGGCCTAGTTGTAAGTTTTATGAAAGTTAAAGTGTTGATCTTAATATCAACTTCTAAAAGTATTGTAATTTCATTATTTTGTAATAAAATATTGTTTTTCTATACTAATTTGTACTAGGCTTATTTTATATCCCTAAAATTTTACACTGCTACCACAATGGTTTGTAAAGTTTTTTGGATTTGAAACAATATTTATTCAAGTTTTTGAAGTCATAAAACTTCATTATGAATTGGTAGAAGTTTTAGACGTTTTTTGAATTGAGTAATTTTGTATACATGTAAAACTAGCTATGTTTTGTTAATGCAAGTTAATAAATACTGAATTGAGTGTGACTGCAGTGTAGTATAATAATTTGTAGATTTTTAAAAATAGTACAGAAATTGATTTTTTTTTATAAAAAATAGTTGGGAAATCTATGTTAAGCAGTTGGGAAATTTGAGGCTTCTCCCCCCCCTAGAATTTAACCAAGCAACGCCACTGTGTATGACACATCCAGTTCCGCCACGGGGAGGCCGGTAAACGTCGGAACCATATTTACAAGTATTTACAAATCAACGGGGACTTTTGATTAGGAAGATCCCCTATCGTACTGCCAAACTACTGTAGAAAACTAAACACACCAATAAAAAAAGAAATGGCTTATTTCTAAATAATACGAAAATATGTAAATATGTACAACAACGGGCACTTTTGATAAGGCAGGCCCCCTATCGTACTGCCGATAATACTATACTAGTTACAGTACTAGTAACTTCCGGTACTGGCTGAGCATGTTTCAGATGATTAGCACGTTGTGAAAGGTATATATTATGGTTCCTTGTAAATCTAACGATGATGAAAATGTTTTCAGTTATAGGTAACACTCTCAAGGCTTTCGCCCTACCTATCCCAAGGTTACAAGCAAATTCCTTAATATAAAGTCCAATTTTATCACACTCCTTTTTAGTATCACCTGCATTGTATGAACTACAATGTACAAAAGTTAAAAACTAACTTACAACACACAAAGATAAATACTTACGACACACCTATCATCTACAATAATAATCACATTAAAATAACACTTATTTTTTGTAAGAGGATTACAGAATTTAAGCTATAGTTAGTATGTGTGTGTTATTTCGTTTAGCTGAATCAGTACAAACACGCATCATACAGACTGTCCCAAAAGTCCCGGACCGGTTTAATATTTTCTAAACGACAACAGATAAATCAATAAGATTTTGCACATCAACACCACACTTAAAAATCTACTTTTTTAAGGAACTATCACTTTTCTGTCATATCATGGGGACGTCCCGCAAGGAGTCAGAAGGAAATTTTAAATAGAAGCAAAGGTTGACATGCACATCAAATTAAAGACCTTTATTAGTAGATTACAATGCCATAAATTCAAGCTCAAAAGAACGCCTGAGTAAAAAATGGCAGCCTTTCAAAGATTTCTTGAACCTGCCATTTTGAATCTTTGAACGACTGCCATTTTTTACTCAGGCGTTCTTTTGAGCTTGAATTTATGGCATTGTAATCTACTAGTAAAGACCTTTAATTTGATGTACATGAAAACCTATGCTTCTATTTAAGATTTTCTTCTGACTCCTTGCGGGACGTCCCCATGATGTGACAGAAAATTGATATTTCCTTTAAAAAGTAGATTTTTAGGTGTGGTGTTGATGTACTAAATCTTATTGATTTATCTGTTGTCGTTTAGAAAATATTAAACCGGTCCGGGACTTTTGGGACAGTCTGTATATTAGCTGATGAATTTTTTTTACAACGTTTATTTGCGATACAAATTAAGAACTAAGCTTTTTGTAAGATGAGCTTCTAATATACAAACATACTGTGTTGGATGGAATTTACAAACTAATCTCTATGTATTGTTTCAGTGGCCAGACGAAGACGAAAGGAAGGCAGACCCAGGAGGCAACGTACGACGTTCTCCAGTGAGCAGACTCTGCGGTTGGAGCTGGAGTTCCACAGATCAGAGTACATCTCCAGAAGCCGCAGGTTCGAGTTGGCGGAGGCGCTGAGACTTACAGAAACCCAGATTAAGATCTGGTTCCAGAACAGGAGGGCCAAGGATAAGCGTATCGAGAAGGCCCACATCGACCAACACTATAGGTAGCGTTGTAGATTAGTGTTAATGGATGGTGTTTAAATTTTAACTAGATTAATGTATTATATTTACAGAAGATTTATGTATTTGGTACTACATTTCGTTTGGGAAGAGTATAACATAAATTTAGGTATAATTTATTATAAAGTCAATAACAGGTTTAGTATTGATAATTAAAAATCAAACAATACTCATATAGCAATTTAAGGTCATATGGTGGTGTTGCTCTCCATGAGAGTTGTCATTTAATTAGAGGGCATTTTCACTGTATGATCAGGGGGTAAAATAACGTTCAGTTTTCTCAAACATTCTACTAATATAAATGAAATTCTGGGTAACTTGTTTTAAGCAGTAATGATGTGACCAACTCTATTTCAAATAGCACGTACAATTTAAGGCATTGTTCAGGTTTAATCTTAATAATGTTGCTAAATCCTAAAATCGAATGTCATCACGTTAATCCTCAGTGTAATCACGAATTATAGAAATTTAACAACTACTGCCGCTGAATTAACATTCAGAAAATCAGCAGAGATTGACTGCTCTGGTCGAAGTCTAAACCCATTTCAATCACTGCTAACATGAAACTAAAAAATGTCGATAGATCACTAACAGTATCACTTGTTTTAGACATAGGCTTAATTAGTCCCATAAATAACAAATACAGTGTAAACCACTACGTCAACCCTCATAAAATAACACAGTTCTATAACAGTGTTTCAAGCCACATTGATTTCACAGGTTTCTAATTGAGTTCTGACCCAGCTCTATTACAGAACCTCATTGTTAGGGGGTGGGGTGATATCGCACAATTTAAAGATAATGGGGGGACGATGACGATAGCGATGGGTCTATCAGCCCGCCTTGAATGCGACCGCTCGAGCGACTAAGCGCCTGGGAGCAGACATGTGCTAGATACCGCGATTTTTCCACCCGAGGAACATCAGATTGACTGAAGTGATAACTGATATTTAAGCGATGAATAATTAGTGGCTGAATCACGCATCGGCTGTCTGCTCGCTCGGGCGAAGTGACCTGACAACCTGAGTCTAGCCGAGCCTTCCCAACATGAATGGACTTAGTAAGTAGGGTGAAACAAGTCGGGACGAAGTGATTAGAAGTTAGAGAAAACGTAGTTAAGCTATAGAAACTTACAAAATAAAACAAAAATATGTGATAGATTATATTGATAGTTTTTCAATATACTCTTACGACATATTGGGACATACTTTATTTCATATTTGTTTTACCTTAATAAAATAATAATAATAATAAAATGTCTTTATTCAAAGCGGCCTTCAGTCAAAACGGGTTTTCAAGACAACTCAAGTCATAAACAATACATTTTACATAGTAATTACAAACAGTGGGGGGAATTAAACTAGCTTTAAATTGGCCTTAAATGAATTACATGACATGATTTTCATATTTCTTGGGAGGGTATTGTATGCCTGGGGTCCAAAGTATGAGAACCTCTTTTTACCTGTCTCACGCCGCACTCTCGGCATTTCAAGCAAGCCGTCCTGCCGTCCTGCCTAGTACAGCGTTTCCTAACTGATGTTCGAGGCATAAGTTTCCTTTTCAAATAGGGAGGCAAGTGAACAATCAAAACAGTTTGTAGAAAACATTGTTTTTCCAAAGAGATCACCTTAGCCTTTTTGCAATAGGCAGATACAAACTTCCTCAGATTGAAGACAAACCTTAGGGCTCGGTTTTGCAACCTCGTAAGAAGAACTCTACAGTCAATAGTAAGACATTCACCAATTGATGGAAGTACATAGTGAATTATATGGAAGACTGTAAATTTAATCAATTCTATCTTGGCAGTTTCAGATAGTATCCCTCTCAATCGGTTGGGAATTCTCAACCTATTTGAAACTCTCTGACACATGTAACTCTACCTTGTTTCTAATACGAATACCAACCATCCTATGAAGTATTATCTGTTAATTTTTTTATTAAACCCGTGTTTTACTTAAATGCTCTTTCTTATCACTTCAGTAAAATATGTGCAATTGTTTGAAATTATTTTTGTTTAGTTACTTTTGTGTAACGTTAAGGTCTTTTACAAGTTACCGGTCTAAAAAAGTGGGGTTGTAAATAAATAAATATGTGTTTTATACTATACATTCTAAATGTGTTTCCTACGGTGTCAACAAACTATTTTGAACCTAATCAGTTTCCGTTATTTTAACTAAGATAATATAATTAACTACTTTGATCCTGAAGTAATTTGATTTAGAGAAGCATAAAACAAATTAAGTGGAATAATTTTTAAAAGGTGCTTGTTTGAAAGTAATTTGTTTGTTTGTTTTATAAACAACTTTTTATTGAAGTTAAAATGTTTTCCAGTCTTAACTTTAAATGTTTTACAGCGCAGGAATTATACGGAATACAGAATAAAACTAGACGAAAAACGTCGAACACGTTTTGACATGCGATACTAAACAGCACCTTTCCAAAACAGCTAATAATTTGAACTGATAAAGAGAAGGCAAGAATTCTTAGAGAAAACAGTTATTTGTGTAACTAGTGTGCAAATGCACTTTGCACTCGCGTTACACATTATATTTTTCCTACAGTTACTCTAAAACATATAAATAATTAGTCTTCCAAACACTGATAGGTTAGGTTAAATCCAAGCGTTGAACGAAAATATAATGTTAACACGAAACAACATATTACGTCGTAGTATCAATACTCAAAGGCTGTGAAACACTGCACCAGCTGATCGTAGCCGTAGTATCTTTAAGTGTTGCCAACTTATTTTCAAGCTTACGCCTTTTTATGTGTTTTTTTTTTATGCCAGTGACATTTTTTTACGTTTTGAAAGGGAACAGTCCAAACCTTATGGACCTATGACGTGCCTTATAAAAACACACTGATTTCTGTTGTTCTGTTTGAATACTGGGGTGTGGCAAAGTAAAATGAGTGCGGCAAAAGTAAGTAAATGCAGCAATTAGCTACGTGCTATAATCAGTGCAAGGAAGCCCACTTTGTTAGGTAACTGTTAAAAAAAATTTCAACTGTTTTAAGTAATAATCACTAGCTATAGTCATCGTGTAGTGGTTTGATTTATTAATAATAAATTAGAATTAAATTTAAAATATATCTTTTCCTACAGTTACCTAACAATGTACATCTTCTCTCACTGATTTAAGAAAGCAAATCGGCCAATTCGCTCATCAGTGAGACAATGTTAACATTGTCTCACTCTAATTACTTTGTCTCACTCCAGATTAGCAACGTGAAGGCACGAAATAGTGAGCGCGTAACATGCAGACAAGGTCGTATGCGCGCGAAATACGTTGGCAGCACTGGCTGTAAATCAGCTGGTCTGCTGGTCAGCTGTTGTACTGTTGTATCATTAAATGTCATATTGAAAGTTCACTTCAGTGCAAAAATATGTTACGTTTCTTTACCAATTTATTTGTTTTATGGTAACGGTAGGAAAAATACAATGTGCAACTCAAGTGCAAAGTGCAATTGCTCACTAGTTGCACAAATAACTATTATTGTACATATACAGTATATTCCATTAGATCCATTGAATTAGTCGAGTGTAATAGTAGTTTGTAGACTGTCAATTTAAATTTTAACTATATGATCTATGAGTAAATTATTTTGCCGAATGTTGCCTCAGTAAAGTACGGACACAAAACACAGGTACATAAAACATTTAAAGAATTCTCGCAACGTACCTAACCATTTCTAGAATTCTTATACAGGGTGTTCCATAACTCTCTGGACACATGTTATTGCTTATAGCGTTTATGTTATGCTTATGTTATAGCGTTATTGCTTAGGTCAAGACAAACACATTTCACCATAGGAAAATGGGTCAGTGGTGTCTAGTTTACTGACTGTCGGCATTTATGTGTTTTTTACAAAAACATTAATAACTCCTCAACAGTTTGAGATACAGCGTTGAGATTTTGCAGACATGGTAATCTTATCAAGGCTTATCTTTTTTTTACATTATACAAAAAAAATCATTAACCGTTTCAAAATGGCAGCCATTTGAAATATTTGATGCCAAATTTCACGAAAGCCGTTAACTTGACAAAAAAGATGCATGAGACAAAAAAGTTAGTAAATTTTATGTAGTTTTCAATAACACCATATTTGTTAAGAATGTATTAATAATAACAGAGAAATGTATTCTTTTCCAAATGCATGACCACTTTTCTCCATTTAAACAATGCTAAACAACGTAAAAAGAGTATCATTGAAAATTGCATAAAATTTACTAACTTGTTTGTCTCTTGCAATATTTTCGTCAAGTTAACGGTTTTCGTGAAATTTGGCATCAAATATTTTAAATGGCTGCCATTTTGAAACGGTTATTGATTTTTTAGTATAATTTAAAAAAAAGATAAGCCTTGATAAGATTAACATGTCTGCAAAATCTCAACGCTGTATCTCAAACTGTTGAGGAGGTATTAATGTTTTTGTAAAAAAAACACATAAATGCCGACAGTCGGTAAACTAGACACCACAGACCCATGTTCCTATGGTGAAATGTGTTTGTCTTGACCTAAGCAATAACGCTATATACATGTGTCTCGAGAGTTACGGGACACCCTGTATATGTGATCCTTACACTTATTGGTACTCAGATAACTCACATTGAATAAAAATATTACCGAATCGTTATGTTAAAAAGTTCCGAAATATTCAACTAAGCTCGATCGGGTAGAGAAGTATGTGGAGTTTAATTAAGGGCTCTACACTTATCACCCTTAGTGTCATTCCATAGTGTAATATGAACCACTTGAAGAGGGAGAGGATAATACATATTGACTCAATACTGAAATGTATGACACTTTAGAATCAATCAAGTCTGGGCATTTGTAGTGTTTGAGGGGAGGCAGATGTCCAATGCAACATCCACTTAAGCGAGGGGACACAACACACCACTAATCGGCTCAACTAATTTGTCCACCCCCTCCCCGAGCACGACGCCCCTAAAATACGTTTAGGGTTCCTTAACTACAGTAAACAATTTATCGGCTACGCTCTATTAGGGGCGTGTTTCTATCAGTATCGATAGTTAGAAATACTAACGTCTAACGGTTGTGGAACGGGTATGGGGTTGAATAGTTACAAATTTAGCAATATTTGGCGACTTCTACGTTGGAGCTCTTTCGTGATTAAAATTATACCTCATTTAGATATTTTATATTCTTTGTTAAAAGCTTGTTTCACACTAATTCAGTATTTTTTGTTTCAATGTTTTTGTGGGAGAAAGGTCGATTTGTAACCAATTTAGGTATTAATTTGATCTATATTAGTCTATCACAACAATATTCTGTTATTTAAGCAAATCCCTCTGCATAAGTTAAGATAAAAGATTAATAAATGGTCTCATTAGTTCAGTTGCTTAGTAGTAATAATAATTATTTATTTATTTATCGTTTCAACGGCTTACGCCAATACATAGATAATTAGATTGAGATACAATTTAAAGGAACTAACAAGATGCAAATATTAGGTCTTCTGTTCAATCGGTTTCTGTGGAAAATCTTGTAGAAAATACCATATTATTTGAAACCTAATAAGGTGCACTTACTAACCCTTTTTTCACACGTTTTATTCCTTTTAGGTTATATATACAGAGGGGTGCAAAAGTAGGTATACATTAAGAAACTGTTTATAGAAAAAATATATTCATTTATACAAAACCCAAACTTTTCCAATTTATTTTAAGAGTATTAAGACACCTAAATTAACTCTTAAAATATCACTTCGTCGTGTGTTCAAACCTTTTGCCTATTCGTACTGTATACCTACTTTTACACCCCTCTGTATATTTCTTGGCATGCGTAACGTTAATTATAAGGGAAAAAACAAAGAGAAGACAAAATAATAATTAATAAAGAGAAGAGTGGTCAGCATAAAATACCTGTATAGAGAATTAAAAATGTTGTATTGCCGTGTGCTATATGTTATACCCTGTGCAATCCATGAACTCGGTAAATAAGTAACACGAGCAAAATCAATAAACTGTAATCAATTACAATTCCCATTTCCTCTAATCACATTCTTGTTTCACGAACATCCGCTTTACCTCAAAGTCACGATACGGTTGAAAAAATGCCCATATTCAATAGTTTGATCATGATAGGCAATCAATATCATAATAGGTGTGGATATGACATACACGGGCATGATTACAATGACCTAGATCGCAAATAGTACTTAAATTTATCGAAACCAAAGCTTAGTTCTCACCAGATGATTATTTCGCAATATTGGGCATCGAGCAAAGACGAGTACAAACCCCTTACATTCCTAAGACGTTTAAAGCAACTGACGTGTAGATTATGAAGTAAAAACTTTATTTAGTTTTTATCATTTGTTCAATTCAATTCGTTTATTTACGGCATAAACTAGTTTACAATATACAGGGTGAATCTCGTAAGGTGTCCAGTATTGATTTTAGACAAACCGTTGGTCCTACGATGATGAAGTAAAATTATTTCCCACTAAACCAACCCCAAGGAATAACGTAAAAATATTTTTAACGATTTTTAAATACAGGGTGTACCAGAAACTGAGGGTCACTAGTCCGAATCTACGAAATATCAAATACAAACGTATATCATGTTATACATCAAATTAAAGCTCTTTTCAATCCAAACCATTTGGCAGAATCGGATTTTGATTATATTGATTCATTTCAAAATGGCGGCTGTTTTTGTGAAAAAATTAATATTTTTTTGAATACCCTGTATTTTTCTTAAAAATGCAGATATCTTGATTCTAATTAAAATATCGCATTCCTTATGAGCTAAGCTTTATTTTGATATGCAACACATCAATATTATCTCTAAAACAAAAAGTTTCAAAAATATCAGTTTTTGAAAATATGTACATAGCCAAAACTCAAAAATTTCAAATAGCACCATTAGTCAAATAGCATATCATTTTAAAGGTATTGGAATTCTAAGAAACTTTCAAATTTAAACCTTATGCGTATCTATTTTGGTTTTTGAGTTATCAACAAAAAACATGTTTTCCCACATTAAAACTCATGTTATTTGTGCGTCAGCCAGACGGCTATAAGTGTGGTCCAGCCTTTACCACCATGTTTAACAAATAACATGCGTTTTAATGTGGGGAAACATGTTTTTTGTTGATAACTCGAAAACCAAAATAGATACGCATAAGGTTAAAATTTGAAAGTTTCTTAGAATCGCAATACCTTTAAAATGATATGCTATTTGACTAATGGTGCTATTTGAAATTTTTGAGTTTTGGCTATGTACATATTTTCAAAAACTGATATTTTTGAAACTTTTTGTTTTGGAGATAACATTGATGTGTTGCATATCAAAATAAAGCTTAGCTCATAAGGAATGCGATATTTGAATCAGAATCAAGATATCTGCATTTTTAAGAAAAATACAGGGTATTCAAAAAAATATTAATTTTTTCACAAAAACAGCCGCCATTTTGAAATGAATCAATATAATCAAAATCCGATTCTGCCAAATGGGTTGGATTGAAAAGAGCTTTAATTTGATGTATAACATGATATACGTTTGTATTTGATATTTCGTAGATTCGGACTAGTGACCCTCAGTTTCTAGTACACCCTGTATTTAAAAATCGTTAAAAATATTTTTACGTTATTCCTTGGGGTTGGTTTAGTAGGAAATAATTTTACTTCATCATCGTAGGACCAACGGTTTGTCTGAAATCAATACTGGACACCTTACGAGATTCACCCTGTAGACTGGAATTGGTACAAGCATTTTACAATTGACAATATGACAGTGATACATTTAGCAGCAATCAGGTACATAATAAAAAAAACAACTTTGACAATTATTGCAGTATTTAAAATCTAGAAATACCTGAAAGCACCAAAACTACAATATAGAAATACAAATCTGAGCAACATAGGAAGAGTAGGGTGACAAAAATAAAGAAAAGAACAAAATTGCCTTCCTCTTTGCAACTTTTTTGTTAATTTAGATTAATAGCATGAATAAAATAACGATACCAAATGAATAATTTATAGCTCATTTTGAAAGCTTTTAAACACGACATGTCACACATAGGCTTACTATTTAACGCTTATATCCAAGTTTGTTCTACTTGATTTCTATTTATTTTGACCCAAGGAATCACTACGTAAATTATGTCCCCACCTTTTTCGAACACCTCGTATATACATTTTACAGCAACCCAGTGTTTTACGAAGTTTCTTCACGTTGCAGGAACATGGCTCTAGCCAGCGGCATGGTGCCAGGGTTTCCCAACAGTTTCCCACCCCTGGCGTCAACCAGTCAGTTCTGCACCCTCTGCTTCTACAAGGACGGCACCCACAGTCACCTGTCCTCAGAGGCCGAAGTAGCATCCTCCTCCAGTCCCTTGGGTAGTCTCAGTAGACTGTCGTCCCCTGGCCGCGAGATGACAGCCAACTGAGAGTAGTGATGTTTCTATCAGCCTAACATCGCGTTATATATTTTAACGATATTTTACATTACGAAAGCTCACTGTGCGTTGTATAGCCTAGACAGAACTAGACATCCCATTCCCTTGTAAAATATGTAATTTATAAATTATAATGAACGTAGCTAAATTAAGTTACCAATAGTGGGCTGTAAATCACACAGCTACCAATAGTGTGCTGTAAATCTCACAGCTACCAATAGTGTGCTGTAAATCACACAGCTACCAATAGTGTGCTGTAAATCATAAAGCTACCAATAGTGTGCTGTAAATCTCACAGCTACCAATAGTGGGCTGTAAATCATAAAGCTACCAATAGTGTGCTGTAAATCACACAGCTACCAATAGTGTGCTGTAAATCATAAAGCTACCAATAGTGTGCCGTAAATCTCACAGCTACCAATAGTGGGCTGTAAATCTCACAGCTACCAATAGTGTGCTGTAAATCACTCAGCTACCAATAGTGTGCTGTAAATCACTCAGCTACCAATAGTGTGCTGTAAATCACTCAGCTACCAATCGTGTGTAGTAAATCACTCAGCTACCAATAGTGTGCTGTAAATCACTCAGCTACCAATAGTGTGCTGTAAATCACTCAGCTACCAATAGTGTGCTGTAAATCACTCAGCTACCAATAGTGTGCTGTAAATCACTCAGCTACCAACAGTGTGCTGTAAATCACTCAGCTACCAATCGTGTGTAGTAAATCACTCAGCTACCAATAGTGTGCTTTAAATCACTCAGCTACCAATAGTGTGCTGTAAATCACTCAGCTACCAATAGTGTGCTGTAAATCACTCAGCTACCAATAGTGTGCTGTAAATCACTCAGCTACCAATAGTGTGCTGTAAATCACTCAGCTACCAATAGTGTGCTGTAAATCACTCAGCTACCAATAGTGTGCTGTAAATCACTCAGCTACCAATAGTGTGCTGTAAATCACTTAGCTACCAATCGTGTGTAGTAAATCACTCAGCTACCAATAGTGTGCTTTAAATCACGCAGCTACCAATAGTGTGCTGTAAATCACTCAGCTACCAATAGTGTGCTGTAAATCACTCAGCTACCAATAGTGTGCTGTAAATCACTCAGCTACCAATAGTGTGCTGTAAATCACTCAGCTACCAATAGTGTGCTGTAAATCACTCAGCTACCAATAGTGTGCTGTAAATCACTCAGCTACCAATAGTGTGCTGTAAATCTCACAGCTACCAATAGTGTGCTGTAAATCACTCAGCTACCAATAGTGTGCTGTAAATCACTCAGCTACCAATAGTGTGCTGTAAATCACTCAGCTACCAATAGTGTGCTGTAAATCACTCAGCTACCAATAGTGTGCTGTAAATCACTCAGCTACCAATAGTGTGCTGTAAATCACTCAGCTACCAATAGTGTGCTGTAAATCACTCAGCTACCAATAGTGTGCTGTAAATCACTCAGCTACCAATCGTGTGTAGTAAATCACTCAGCTACCAATAGTGTGCTTTAAAATCACTCAGCTACCAATAGTGTGCTGTAAATCACTCGTTTCTGTCGATCACTCCAAATGTTTAAACGAGCAAAATTTAAATGTTAAACTAAGCATATTTCATATCACGCCAACTATATCAGTAAGAAATAGGGGAAGAATTAAAATTTCTCAATTAAGCACACACTGTGAGAGGCCCATTCAATTATGATCTTTTTCAAAAAAGAAAATTGCTACAACTGGTCCATATAAATGGGATGTCTACTTCAGAACTAAAAATTCAATAACATTATGAAGAATACGACACGGTAAAAGTTTATGATTATTGTATAACAGATGAGAATTGATCATATAGAGATTTATAGATAGTTATATTAGAGAGTTATCATACCTTTATCACATTTACTGGTATATCGAATCGAAACTTACATGAATCCAAATCCTTCTTTTCTACTTTTAAACTTCAGGAAAACTTAAATCCACCGTTGGAGTTTACATTTTTCACTCTCCAATATTTGCCACATCCAATATAGTGGTTGCCTAAAATATGAATATTATCAATAAATGTACACTATATTTCATTGTTTTAAGTTTAGGTCCACCATTTAAAAAAATCCAACGCTTAATACAATTGGGAGAGGGTATTAGATTTTTCTTCTTTATCAAACATATCAAAATCTACTTATTTTTTTTAAATAACCCACTAACATTTCGTATGTTTATTCAAGTGTACCGGTATTACTGACCTGATTCAAATTATATTAATAGTCATTATAGACATTAATTTATCACTCTAAATTCATACTGTGAATTTAAAGCCATACAGCGCGTATATACTACACATATATAATATATATGTTAATCTACAATACCCATTTTAAATCAGAATACAGTAAATAAATACAGTACCCCATGAAAATTTTACATTTCTGTAAAGGGAATGAAATTTTCTTCCTTTTTGTCATTTGTAATTTTTTTATAAATACTATGTTTTTTTAGTTATTAAGCTATGAAAATTTAAAATAGCAGCCATTTTGAAATTATACAAAGTAGAAACTTGATGCTTGTAAAAGAATAGTTCCTATTAGTCATTATACACGTACCAAGTTTGAAGCTGGTACCTCAAGTGGCTCCAAAGTTATGGAAAGTTATGTAACAAATACATAGGCCTACACACCGACAGACGGAGACGGAAAACGAAGCGAGATAGAGCATATGTTTATGTGATATTTTTGTTTGTTTTGACTTAAGGAACATGTGTTATTAAAACCTCTATTAACTGGATACAGTAACGTTTAAACTCTAATAGTCCCTTTAGAACCATGTCTCCCAATAACACCCTTACTGTATTAAGATGTAAATTTAACCCAGTGTGGTACTGAATTATTATTGACACATAGATGAATCATATTCGATTATGTTAAACTTAATGTGTGTTTTGTACAGAATCCAAGGTGTGCATTTCGATGTTGTTCGAAATTCCTACCAATAATATTGTTACATGTATATATATCGCTTCCTTTATCGATAATTATCTAGCTGTTATTCTTGTTTTTCTTTATATGTTAGAATAGTTCCAGACTTCAAATATGTCTGAAAGTCTAGTCATGTGGGAAGCGTATTTCCGAATCAACACATTGTTGGCCAAACAATATTTGTTCCCATTTACTTAATGTTTCAGTAGCCTTTTTATCACAAATATCATATGCAGATTAAAATACTATTTGTGTTTTTTAGACTTATGTATTTTACGATGTTATTTATTGTACAGATTTGAGGATATATTTAACTAAATCTAGTCACTATCTTACTTTTTAATAAATAATTTTGACACCTACGTCGCATTTTATTTCTTCTCAATGTTTTGCATGATTTCCTATAACTACACATATTGTCTTGGCTATCCTTGTAATTAAATCATAATTTTTGTACATCTGTAAAACACCTTAAAAAGTACCTACTCAAATAACGTGAAAGTATGCAACAAACATTCGAAATGCTCAACTCCAGGTCATCTACTTTGATTATTTTAAGCCTACTTTGACCTAAAGGTCTGATTTATGACACATACAAACACCTCTAACTTAATGAGTAAAATAAGATTAAAATATGTAATATACACAAACCAAACAAATTGTACATTCAATGTGTTTCAATAACTATAGTAAACCTACTCATTTTTAAAGGTATATTTTCAAGGATAAATAGTATAGAATGTTTCCCTTTCACAATGTGCCATAACCTGTAACCTTTTACAATAGTATTGCCAGATAATGGGTCTTAAATTATTCTTCCTTCTCCAAAAGTAACAGTTATTAACATAGTTTTTTGTTTTATCAAAATGAATACTAAGACAAACTCTGATAACCCAGAGTGTGGTTTTGTATTATAATTTTTCGTAATTATTATTTGCTAAACTAATTTAATTTATGTTTTAGAATTTTTTTTACTACATAAGTATTGTAATTTTCTTGAACAAGTTAAAATTGTATTGATATGAGATTATTTTTAGTAATGACGTTGATCGGACTAAATGTACAGCATACTACAACGAGCTATTAATTGATATTCTTACATTTTGCGGACACCAGAGCAAAAAGGGGGAATGTCAGAAAAACGCTAATTTTAGAAAACAGCGATACAGTTTTTTTCAAACGCTCCAAATAGAAATACTTTACAGTCCCAGTACGATGGAAATTCCTCCTTTTTATTCTGTATGTCTATAATTATAATCGTTATATCTTTGGCCATTACGCTTTCTCTTCCAGGTCAGTTTACAGAACATATAGAACTTTTCTCAGAGCATATGAACCAGTCGCTACTAAAAAAAATATATTGGACATTTCCCCTTCTTCCCTTGTCCATGTAACAATATTTTATTGAACGACTTTCGTTTCAAATTTACCCAGTGACAAATCGTAATATATTTGTCAATTATAGATATGGCTTTGAAAATGTGTTAAGCTTTGATAAATACAAAGGATATGAAGAGTTTCAGGGGTTGAAGTGGGGAGTAGAGGGAAGGGGTGGGCCCAAATAGAGCGTGTGTCACTAAGTGAGCCTTGTCGTGATCTTTTGTCCAATCCCTCCATTGTGTTCAAAATGCCCATAAACTCACCATCAACCATCGCTTAGTATCATCATTGTACCTCATCTCTCGAGATGTAAACAAGAGTGGGTTGGACCGCAAAACCGAGTCTAATGGATGGATATTTCACTGGTTGTGGTTGTCAGGGTACGAACCAAAACTGATGGATGGATGTTTCACTGGTTGCGGTTCTGGTTGCTAGGTATATCCGAACATGATTGATTGAGATTTCAATGGTTGTGGTTGCTAGGTATACCCAAACTTGATTGATGAATATTCCGCTGGCTGTGGTTGTCAGGGTACGAAACAAAACTGATGGATGGATGTTTCACTTTTTGTGGTTCTGGTTGCTAGGTATATCCGAACATGATTGATGGAGATTTCAATGGTTGTGGTTGCTAGGTATATCCAAACTTGATTGATGAATATTCCACTGGCTGTGGTTGTCAGGGTACGAAACAAAACTGATGGATGGATGTTTCACTTTTTGTGGTTCTGGTTGCTAGGTATATCCGAACATGATTGATGGAGATTTCAATGGTTGTGGTTGCTAGGTATATCCAAACTTGATTGATGAATATTCCACTGGCTGTGGTTGTCAGGGTACGAAACAAAACTGATGGATGGATGTTTCACTGGTTACGGTTGCTATATAGTATCCAAACTTGATGGCTGAAGATTTAAATGGTTATGGTAACTAAGAAAGTAACTAATATGATGGGTAGTTATTTCACTGGTCTTGGTTGCTGGATACCCACTAATGAGGAATGGTTTTTTGTTTGCTAGGAAGGAATCAATTCTAATGGAAATAACTCTCATTGGTTGATGACATAATGCATACCGTAATAATTAAACAACTCGTGAGAATAATAAATTATTTATTTTCGAACTGGCTTAAAACAATTTTTACTCATTAAACTAATGTTAGCTTTTGGTGGATGTTGGGTTAGGTGCGTCACAGACTATAGGTCAATTGACCAAATGTACAATCGCAGAATGTGCCGACGACTTAACGGGGCCTGGACAATATATTGGTGAATGGTGATATAGGTCAACGATTGGTCATTAGTGCGACATGTAGCATTATAAGTCTTATGACAGTGCATTTAGAATTGTAGATACTATTTTTAAGAGCAAACCTGACTAAGCCATCAAAATGATGAATCAAATACAAACAAAATTTAACTGCCCATTTATTTTTAACTAATATTTATGATTTGAATTAGGTAAAAATTATCAATTTAAAAATGTTATCATAGACGGAAGGATTATATTGAAGATAGACGTGAATAAATGGTACTTATATTTAGTAGTTTATTTTTTTAATTATTATATCGCAGAACAAAAACAAACATTATTACTGCATCGATTTTCAAGTTAGTAGGAGCAATTGATGTTATAAAGAGTTATATCTTATAAAATACTAATAACATTAAACTTTTATAGTCTTTTTGTACATTAAAACACAAACAATATAAACGGACACTTGTGTTAAATTATAAATTAATTATTTATATTTAAATGATAAATATATCACAGGACAAAAACAAATAGTATGACTGTAAAGATGTTTGAGTGAGTTAAGTACCGTAGTAAAAGCAAAAATCATAAAAGATGGAAAGAACTTGACTGAAAGTTACAGTGAACAATATTCTATAGTTTACTTCTCGTCAATGAAGATCCCTGTGTAATCTGAGGTCTGATCTCATTACATAACGTCTCATCAGATACAGTAGTCGGCGTGATGGCCGGGTAGTAACCAAACTAGCATGCTGGCCAGGGTAGTCTCGGTATGTGTCCTTGTGGTATCTGTGCTCCACATCTCTGGAACCTGCGGTGAGACCAACATCACGCTGCTCACTCTACCTATCAACTTGACATCCTGGAGGACATCTTTACACAGGACCTTCAACGGATCTCTGGTTCGTCCTCTGACATCCCATCTGTCTTCTGCCTTGAACGATACTCTGCAATTCTTCAAGACTGGGAGCGTCGGCTGTACACCGGAAGGCGAAGAGGTAAAAGCTAGACCTAGAACGTGAGATTCACTCAAAGGGATATAGGTAATTAATATATTGGATCAATATATGACACACACACTCACAATAGGGCGCGTAATTAGCTCGTTTGTAATTAGCTTTGTTATTGACAATATTTTGAAAGGCAGCTGATCAAATAATCGAAAATCTTTGAGTTTTTTAGGATAAAACCATCAACCCTCTGGTTACCCGGCGAATATATCTGCCAATCTATAAGAAAACCTTAAAAGGCGAGGGAAATGCTCAAAGGCATACAGAGTGAATTTCTTATCAAGTAGTGAGTCTTAGTATCATTGCACTACCTTAATTTGTTAATTAAATTGATAATTAAATTTTATTATTCATATTCAATACATAATGTGGTAGATGGTTTTTAATTCAATATAGTATGCAACTTTTATACACACCCTTAATTTAAAATGTATTACAGATTTGATAGTTAAAGAAATATACTCAGCAATAGCCTACATTTAGCTGGTTTAAATAATATCGTTTATAATGATTAAATACATCATGAATAAAATCATGATGGTTAAATGATCGTTTTATAAGGAATTGGTACAAGATCCCTTTACTTCGTAGCCGCATGCAGTGAACCGAGTGTTTCAGGGATCTATTTCCTGTTTTCAAAAATCACATATTTACATATACAGAACATTGTAATGTACTGTATTTAATGAGGCTACATGTTATTTATTTAACGAGTTTTTAGCTCCAAGAACATCCCACACACGTAACGGCTAAAGTTTAAACTCATTTAACCACAAATATATTTTCCTATGACTGTAATGTTATGTGTTCAAATCTATAATCTCATTCATGTTGTTTACAAAGGCCAAACGCATATGCAATGTTTCCTTTCCGATACTCATAAAAAAACACAAGTTGTTAAGATTTCAGGACCTCCTGATCAAGGTCGTAGTAACAATAAACCGTGTGGTATCTGTAAATTAGGAATAATATTTTAGGAGTATCCTATTAGAACATATATTAGAATCAAATCGGCTGTTTATTTTAGAAGAGAGCACTTGCTATGTAATATTGAAAAGCTTGATCGCAGATTTACATGTCTATAGTTTGTTTTAAAATTTGTATTGTAAATGTTCAAACTTTATCCATATGTGGCATTTAAAGTTGTATAGTGATTTCATAATTTTTTTTCGATTTAAAAATTCTCCAAAACTATGTGCCATAGTATTAATAATAATATATAAGCCAATAGAGTTGAAATCGGTGACATGAAAATCGCGAGAAGTTACTTCAATACTTCACCCGCAACTACAAATTTCATATAATCAATACTAACTAGACAATTTATTTGTGGAACAATGGATCAGATGGTCGAGAACACAAGCGAATCAGATTCAAAATAGTTAAACATTATTTTCAGCTTTAATTTTTTAACATTACAAAGAGAATCTTTTTGTTGCTATAAAGCAATCTCCAGCACAGCTGTTTAATATATGAGCTCAGCGATGAGCATTGACAGCTCTTACTTACAGAAAAAGTTGTATTCGAGAAAGGTCAGTAACTGTTTGACGGCTCAAAACTGGGCCCAGCTGTTCTTAACATAGGTTTGTTTAGTGAGTAACAGAGCTACTCAGAAGTTCTCACTCCGTTTTACACTCATCCCTCATTCATATCCAGTTAAGAACACGCATCTTAATGTGTGTCGAATTGAATTAAATTCATCCAATTAACATAAGCAACTCAGAATCTTGTTCGTCGTTTTATTTATTTCGCTTTTAGCCAGAATCGGATGGAAAATACTATGTAGGCTACTTTTAATGTGTGTTGTGTATGTATGTGTTGTAGGTAATACCACACTTGTCAGTCAGTGTGCGCGTGCAGTGTCTTACTCAACTTTTTTAGTGTCAATGCTGATGGCATTCAAGATTTCTATTACTAAACAAATGTAGAATTTGTAATGATAAATTATGATGAGGCTTACCTTTTTTAACGTTCTACGTAACAGGAGAATGCATGCAGTATAGTAGCTTTACAATCGGCTTGCTGCTAAAATAAAAGGAGAAGGAAGTGTTTTTATAAATTGACAATGAACCTTGGCCCGTTTAAATTCAAAGTTCTTATGATATCCTTACAGGATAACAAGTCGCTTAGTAAGTAGGCTGAAATATCAAATAACAATTTTCAAGTCGCAACGCAGGTACAACAATCCCGTCCAAATAAAAACTATGTTCACTGACATTGTCCTGAATAATCGCTTGTTCTACATACCACATAGATACTGCATGCTACAACGTGTTGTCAAAACCTGTTTGTGAATAGCTTATGATCACTTATTGTATCAGGTACAGTAATCTGTGATTGTTGCAGTGCATTCCTGATGTTCCATCGTGCTGCCCCTCAACGGCGGACGGTCATTTAGGTGACAGAGAGGACGAGGACCTCCAATGTCTTCCTCAAGGTGGTGTCTACCGTTGCAGTCTCGTCACGGACTCGGAGGACGTTGCTCAACTGAGGCTAAACGCCCTGGAGTACGGAGACAGTGCGGGGCAGCTGGAGTCGCACCCTTGGATCAACAGTTGGGAGTTCCAGTCTAGAAGTATGGCGGAGCGGGAGGAGTTACAAGCACTTCAAGACGCTGAGTGGAAGAAGAACTGGAAACCGAGCAGCCAGGAAAATGTTTGGATCAAGGCCTACAACAAAGTTAAGAACGAAGCCCTAAACGCGTGGAAGGATTTGAGGAAGATGAAAAAACTAAAGGAAGTAAAAGATACTTTGATAGACAAGAAGAACAAAAGACTAGAGCCCACGGTCCCACCAGCTCCAGAGCCCGTACAAGAACCCCTACCTGAGCCCGAGGACGAGCCTGTGGTGGAGGAAGAGGAAAAAGAAGAAAATCCTGCAACCCAAAAAGCAGCGAGGGTTTTGTACCCGGATGAGCTATCGGAGGAAACAATCCACGGCAACAAAGGTCAAGCGGAGTCAGGCAGTGAAGAGAGTGTGATTAAATTTTCTGATGAATTACCAAAACGGGATAAGAAATTAGATTTCAGACTAGACAACTTAATTAAAGACGCCATGTACTTAGCAAGTGAAAAACTGAAGAAGACAACTGAACAGGGTAATCGGCCTTCAGGAAAAGACAGCTCTGTAGTATCTCCTTTGTCGTCACAGGAGGAACTTCTTCGCCTGGAAAACATTCAAGACATTGTAGATAAGTTAACGAAGGAAGTAAACGACCTAAAATCGTTGAAGACGCAAAGAGACGAAAACAATAAAGACAACGTTGACAACAAAGGGCCCAGTATAGACGAATTAATAGAGAAACACGTGCGTAACATACTAGAAGAAAAGAGAAGGTTATATGAACTGAGACAAATCGAGGAAGCGAGGAGATTGAAAAAAGAAGGACTTATTAAAACGTAGCAACACACCTAAATAATTAGGTCAACTAAATAAACATGAATCAGTTCAAAAACCAGTCATCCTAACCTACTATTTTTATTTTTGTCATTTTTACTTATGAACATTATTTAATAAACATAATTAAATGCAAAACAAACAAATGGGATAGTGAAATTATATACTTCAAAAATGGATTTTACTTCCCTCAAATAATTTGTTATTCGTTCTCTTGCACTGTTTAGTTATTAAAACAGAACAGACTCGTTATCAACAAAACTTTCTTGTATAATATTCCTTGTACCCTTGTTATACAGATAATTATATTTTACATTTTATGGTAGCTGATTTCGTCACGTATAGTGTTTATTATTGTCCATTGTTTTTTAGGCAGACGCAATCGGCTGAATAGAGAACAGTCGAACTAATAATTCCTTGATTACATGGAAACCGTTGCTTGGTATTTTAGAAAATAATTTTCTTATATCTTTTGGACCTATTGTACAATGGCCAAATAGTTTCTGGCCATTCAGATTGCAAAAATCATTTTACCTCAAATGTCCTCCTCTTGTTTCCTCTGATAATCGTATTATATCTTTTTATTATACAACAAGAGGTCTGGATTAACAATGTGTCGTAGCTCAATTATGAACTTAAGGATTCGGACAATTCGTTGGGATTCACTCGGATGTGGTTTAACAATTGTGAACGCCTAATAGATGTAGTACATAAACTAAACCTACTGATAAAGTGGATGGTAGTAGTGGATACGCACTGAATGTAAGCCTTTTCCAAAACGGTGAATATTTTGCTGAACACCGTTCTCTCTAACTCTGTTTCGTGGTTTTAAATCCGACTTATAAACAACATTTTACCCATTATGCTGTTGGCACTATTCTGTTGTTGTTTATTCTGTTCTAAAGCGTGCTATTAGTGTAACTTCCCAGAGAGTTTATAATCTACATTGTATCTGTATTGTTTTCTATTATGAACTTGTGTGGAGAACACATCAGTGAATGGTTCTTCGATATTGACGTGTTTGGATAATCATGTATACTTTAATTTTATATAACATAAATTGAGATATAACGTCACGTATGGTTTAAAAGGTAAATGAATGTTCATTGACAGTAAACATTTACCTATTGGAGGGAGTTCGAAAGTTCCAACAAAACGATAAATGTAGAATGATAGGACTTTGTTAATTTATTTGGAAGTAAACTGAACATAAATGGAGATCGTGTACGTAATAAAATGACTTAACTAAATATAACTAATCAATTAGAGCGGTAAAGAAAGGAAATATTACGGCAATAAATCATGTTTACTGCCCTGTTAGTATTTTACAGTCCCCTTTTACTGTATCAGCTACCAAAGTTTCTTATCGGCTCGAGAGTTAACAATCACACTAGTTATCAAACATTCGCCACATCAGCATCTGATAAGAGAACGACAGTGGGCCAGTAATGGGCGAGTGGTCGGCCCGGTGGTCGCTGTGGTCAGTGTTAGTGGCCGTGCAGCATGTGGGAGGATGCAATGTCCGGGAGATCGCAGAGATTGTACAGAAAAGGTTCAGAGAAGAGATCGCGGCCCAGTGTGCCTCTATAGGTGATAAGGTAAACTTGAAATTGAAATACTTATTACACCTTCCCGCCATAGGTGATAAGGTAAACTTGAAGTTAACTTACTAGGACTAGACTTTCGTCTCTCCAGAGATGTTTGTCGAACTAGAGATCGCAGCCAAGTGTGCCTCTATAGGTGATAAGGTAAACTTGAGTTTAACTTACTTATTACACCTTCAACTATTGCTAGAACTAGACTTTCGTCCCACTAGAGATTTTCGTTGAACTAGAGATCGCAGCCAAGTGTGTCTCTATAGGTGATAAGGTAAACTTGAGTTTGAATTACTTATTACACCTTCGACTATTGCTAAGACTAGACTTTCGTCCCACTAGAGATGTTTGTCGAACTAGAGATCGCAGCCAAGTGTGCCTCTATAGGTGATAAGGTAAACTTGAGTTTGAATTACTTATTACACCTTCGACTATTGCTAAGACTAGACTTTCGTCCCATTAGAGATGTTTGTTGAACTAGAGATCGCAGCCAAGTGTGCCTCTATAGGTGATAAGGTAAACTTGAGTTTGAATTACTTATTACACCTTCGACTATTGCTAAGACTAGACTTTCGTCCCATTAGAGATGTTTGTTGAACTAGAGATCGCAGCCAAGTGTGCCTCTATAGGTGATAAGGTAAACTTGAGTTTGAATTACTTATTACACCTTCGACTATTGCTAAGACTAGACTTTCGTCTCTCTAGAGATGTTTGTCGAACTAGAGAACGCAGCCAAGTGTGCCTTTATAGGTGATAAGGTAAACTTGAGTTTGAATTACTTATTACACCTTCGACTATTGCTAAGACTAGACTTTCGTCCCACTAGAGATGTTTGTCGAACTAGAGATCGCAGCCAAGTGTGCCTCTATAGGTGATAAGGTAAACTTGAGTTTGAATTACTTATTACACCTTCGACTATTGCTAAGACTAGACTTTCGTCCCATTAGAGATGTTTGTTGAACTAGAGATCGCAGCCAAGTGTGCCTCTATAGGTGATAAGGTAAACTTGAGTTTGAATTACTTATTACACCTTCGACTATTGCTAAGACTAGACTTTCGTCCCACTAGAGATGTTTGTCGAACTAGAGATCGCAGCCAAGTGTGCCTCTATAGGTGATAAGGTAAACTTGAGTTTGAATTACTTATTACACCTTCGACTATTGCTAAGACTAGACTTTCGTCCCATTAGAGATGTTTGTTGAACTAGAGAACGCAGCCAAGTGTGCCTCTATAGGTGATAAGGTAAACTTGAGTTTGAATTACTTATTACACCTTCGACTATTGCTAAGACTAGACTTTCGTCCCATTAGAGATGTTTGTTGAACTAGAGATCGCAGCCAAGTGTGCCTCTATAGGTGATAAGGTAAACTTGAGTTTGAATTACTTATTACACCTTCGACTATTGCTAAGACTAGACTTTCGTCCCACTAGAGATTTTCGTTGAACTAGAGATCGCAGCCAAGTGTGTCTCTATAGGTGATAAGGTAAACTTGAGTTTGAATTACTTATTACACCTTCGACTATTGCTAAGACTAGACTTTCGTCCCACTAGAGATGTTTGTCGAACTAGAGATCGCAGCCAAGTGTGCCTCTATAGGTGATAAGGTAAACTTGAGTTTGAATTACTTATTACACCTTCGACTATTGCTAAGACTAGACTTTCGTCCCATTAGAGATGTTTGTTGAACTAGAGATCGCAGCCAAGTGTGCCTCTATAGGTGATAAGGTAAACTTGAGTTTGAATTACTTATTACACCTTCGACTATTGCTAAGACTAGACTTTCGTCCCATTAGAGATGTTTGTTGAACTAGAGATCGCAGCCAAGTGTGTCTCTATAGGTGATAAGGTAAACTTGAGTTTGAATTACTTATTACACCTTCGACTATTGCTAAGACTAGACTTTCGTCCCATTAGAGATGTTTGTTGAACTAGAGATCGCAGCCAAGTGTGCCTCTATAGGTGATAAGGTAAACTTGAGTTTGAATTACTTATTACACCTTCGACTATTGCTAAGACTAGACTTTCGTCCCATTAGAGATGTTTGTTGAACTAGAGATCGCAGCCAAGTGTGTCTCTATAGGTGATAAGGTAAACTTGAGTTTGACTTACTTATTACACCTTCGACTACTGCTAGTACTAGACTTTCGTCTCTCTAGAGATGTTTGTCGAACTAGAGAACGCAGCCAAGTGTGCCTTTATAGGTGATAAGGTAAACTTGAGTTTAACTTACTTATTACACCTTCGACTATTGCTAGAACTAGCCTTTCGTCTCTCTAGAGATGTTTGTTGAACTAGAGATCGCAGCCAAGCGTGTCTCTATAGGTGATAAGGTAAACTTGAGTTTAACTTACTTATTACACCTTCGACTATTGCTAGAACTAGCCTTTCGTCTCTCTAGAGATGTTTGTTGAACTAGAGATCGCAGCCAAGTGTGTCTCTATAGGTGATAAGGTAAACTTGAGTTTAACTTACTTATTACACCTTCGACTATTGCTAGAACTAGACTTTCATCCTCATGTTGTAGCCAAGTATTTAAATCAAAATTGACGTAGCCACATCAATTCATGTTGAGCCACTTATAGTTTGTAAATTATTGATTTCTATATAAGTCAACTTTTTAACCAAGTAAAACTGTAAGGACGACTTATTGTAATCTTTACCATCTTTTTTGTCACATCAACGATCTTACTAATAAAAACTATGGGTGAAGAACAGAATATCAGTCTTTAGCAATCTTGTGAGTAGCTCATTCAACTGTGATTTTTATGTTTTAAAAGTAGGCTACAGCAAATCCATATAGATAGGATGTATATTTCAGTATACAAAATTCATTGGCTATATCCAAGAAACCTCTGTGTTTGTTAAAGCAGCGTATTATTAGACCATTACTCCATTAGTTTAAATATTATATCGACACACTACGGTGTGTATTTGTTGCGAAGACGATTTAAGGACACATCCTTCAATTCAACGAATCAGATTATGCATTCGTTCCTCACTTAGGTCACCTGGTTCGTAACCAGGATCACATTAAAAGTCCAATGAGTAATGGCAGTTATGTCCAACTTACAACCTTAGAAAATCTGTTTGACTTTTCTCAGAATCAACCCAGCAACATCCAAATACTAGGCGAGCATCATTGCCTATCCTATGGGTGCCCAACTCTCTTGTAGAAGTTCGCCCACACTAAGTTCTCCAAGGTTTTTAGGGGGCATGAAAGCTCTGTATTTGAGGATTGCCTCAATACTTAAAACATTAGTTTCAAATATTATACTGAACATGAATATATACACGACATAAATTCATTATAATTTGCGGAAAGTGTGCTGTATAATAAACTGTATGTAAATACAGTAAATAAAAACTATGGGAATTAAAAAATTAAAAACAAGTCGAAAATCCAAGACATTCTACAAATTTTGAAGTACGTAGGTCGTTTTTTGAAGGTGAAGGAGTGCGATTTTTGAAAAACGCAATAGCGTTCTTGTAGAAGATTTAATGCATGACCATGAAAATTCGTTTAAATCTTTGCTAGCTTTTGCCGTTTTCGAGCTATAGCCGTAAAAAAACTTAAATATTTTTTAAATATGAAAATGTAACTTGTTGGATTTTCTGGGTGTCCTGGGACCGAGACGGACCTCCACAAAAAAATTCAGATCCCTATTATAGAAGTGGGTAAACATTTAAATACCTGATCAGTGAGTCAGTGAGCTACACAAGCGGCTGTATAACCCGTTAAAGAATGTACACGGGTGGTCTGATTCACTCTTTTAAGACTATTTTAATGTTCAACAATCCATTCTGTTGTTGCAATAAGTTAGTCTCCAGCTTCCGATCTTTATGATAGCATAGGTATAGTGCAAGTTATGGAACCTCAATGTTATACAAACAAAATATTTTATTCTTACTTTACTACTACGAGGTTAATAAATTATTATACTCATAAATTTACATCTAACAATAACAATAACCACAGTAATTATTCAAAACAGGTGCCTCCTGGAGGCCTAATGCCTAAAAAAATAGCAGCCTTCAAACCAATTTTTAAGTTTTGATTTTTTAATTAAAGTAGTGTTTACCTCCTAAATAAAAGTACGAATATTATTATTTTCCGAAAATTAATATTACTAAGCAATATCACTGTACGACTTTTACCAGCCTTTCATTGGCATAATGGTCACTTTCCAATAGCTAGAATACTATTAATGGGCTGCTAAGTGAAGGTGAGGTGAATAGAGCTGAAGACAAGAATAAGAAACCTCCAGGAGAATGTGCAATTAAAACCCTGAGACGAAACACTAAAAAAATTAAAACCCCCGTTGCAGCAAACCTGTTGACTAAGCGAATTTCCATTTGTCTTAAATGATTTTCAATTAAATCCATTTAAATTACATTATGTTTAACGAGTCCATAGGTTTGCTGATACAAAAAAAGGAAACTAATAAACCGTGTTTTTTGTGTTTTTTTGTAAAATGTTATTAGCTTAGTATAAAATAAATAAATTTGCCAAGTTTGATCAAAATATAACCATAAACGAGCAAACTACAACATTTTACAATATTCTCCATAAGAATAACATAGGAATTTTAAATTTAAAATTTTTTTTGAATTTTTTCCATTACTAATAAATGTACAAAAAAACTTTGATGTACTAAATTATTTGTTTTTTAAGCTCTTTAAAAAGATCTAGAGAGAAATTGGGAAATTTTGTGTTTTGAGGGTCAAAAATTAGATAACCTAATTTTAAACCCATAAAACCCCCTGTAAACCCCCGTTTACATGGTCCGATCATGCTGGTTCACGAACTCATTCAAGTTTATCCCGCCTTACACCTTTAAACCAAATATCATCAACATCAGACAAAAATTACTCAAGTTATCGTGTTCACATATACATATGTAAATATTTGGAAGAATTGTGTTTTAGGCCTCTGGGGACATTAAAATGAAAAAGTAAATCGGTCCCGGGCCTAGGTCTTACCGTGCCACCTACGGTAATAACTACTTCCCTCTAGGGAAATTCGCTAAAACGCAGTTAATTTGCCAAAATAAAATGAAGGAAAATCTCTTTTCAATGTTAAGTGTAAACGTTTTAATTAAATAAAAACGACTTTATTTTTAAATACGTAGATAAATTGTTTAATTTCTTTAAAACTGACTCGTGTCGTGTTTATTGATTTGCTCTATTAATCTACTTTGAATTTTTATTTATTTAATTAGGGTATGATTTTTTATGTTACATTAAATACAAATAAGGTCAATCATGTTTAACACAAGTATCTACGCTTATTCATATTTCGGACATTCTTTAACATTTATATTTAGTGGTATTTTAAAATGTATCCTTACTGACTTATAAGTTTTTAGGTTGGGGGCGCCAAAACGTTATTCGCTTACACTAAAAAAGAGTATAGAACCGTCCCTGTGAAACCTTACTTCGATTTGGGGTTTAGACCTATTTTAATAGATCTAGAAACCTATTAAAACACATGGTCCTCTGGTTAGCTTTAGGTTGGCTTTAGCCTTAGTTCAGTTCAGGGAGTGATACGTTTTTGGTAGAGTATGTTTTTTGTTTTTTGTGATACTAAAAAATATACAACATTATGAATATACTGATTTCAAGAAAAGTGTCACCGTTATGATAGGATGTTCTTGTTTACTGAATCAGATGGAATATGTGATTTTCATACTGTACCTAACGTATAGTATACTTTACGGTTTCACAATATTTTTATTTTTGTTTTAAAGCTACTTTATATATTTTTAAATAAGTAATAACTCGAGGAAACCACAAAATGAACTATCGGACAGCTATGGTAAAATGCATCTTATAACAAAAAATTAAATCGGACGAATTGATTGAAGACTCGAGTCACACGACTAATAAACTACGGTCTGGTTCTTTTTCGAATCTTAAATCTTACAATATGAATATGCTAATACTACATATATATTAAGTGCTATGGATTTATGAACTAAGTTGTTTATCAAATCAAACCTTTTATGCTGAAAATTTCTCCAGATAAAGCTTTTTGTGAATTTCCCATATCCCTATGTATGTATGTATGTATTAATAAGACATTACCGTAGGTCTCATGTAAAAAACCTAGACTCGGGTCGGGGCTGATTTCCTTTTTCGTTTTGAACAGTAAATGAACTAAAAACCATCAAATTTTAATGGAATCGTACTAATATTATAACTGGGAAAGTTTGTGTGTTTGTTTGTTTGAATTTCAATCACGCATTAACTACTGGTCGGATAGAGCTGAAATTCGGTATTATGATAGCTTACGTTCCCTATTAACATATATACATACTCTTATCTCAAAGATCCTTTCGGGCTCACCCCAGTGGCTTTGGAGATTCCCATGTTAAACTTATTCATAAGTAAAATGAATTAAAGAATTTTGCCATCTGTTTCAACTACACAATTTGATTCTATGATATTCAATAGCATTAAAAAGTTGTAGGGTGTACCAACAGGGTGAAAGAAAACTATTGATTGGTTAAGTTAAGCTGAAATAAACAAAACACAGTAATAAAACAGTACAGTATTACTTACAAGTTACAGTAATACAAAAAAATAATCACACCTGATTTTAATAAGGTAATAAATTGAAAGAATAGCATACAAATATGTACATCTGAGGTATCTTTAACATTAGGTATATGGAAAGTTACCTTTTAGAAAGTAATTACGACCTTAAAGGGCAATGTATGAAATAATGGATAGTTTTGCGCAAGGTTTCTCGTAATGACGAACATTTTAAGTATATGGTTTATGGGGGTGTGACTTGTAGTTTTCTCAAAAGTTCATGGGTACTTTGGGATTTATATATCGATAAGCATTTACGTAAACGTCAACCTCGTACGAAGGACGGGTACTCTGCTAGTTGAACATAAGCGTGTTAACCTACATTTAAGGAACAAAGTGTTATAGGGGGTTTTATTGGGTTGTTTTGACCCTCAAAACATAACATTTTGCATTTTTTCAGACCATCTTAAAGCTTAAAAAATAAATAGTTTTGTTAATTGAAGTGCTGTTGAATGCCTTACAGATAAAATTAAAAAAAATACAAATTTAAAATGCCAAGGTTATTCTTATGGTTTGGTTAAAATGGAGAATAAATTAACTGTTGTAGTTTTGCTTGTTTATGAATGCAATTAGATCAAATTTAGCTTTTTGTTTATTTCATACTGAAGCATTCAAATTTAAATAAAAACCACCCATAATCACAATTTACATTTATAACACACGTTATGTTATTTAAATAGATAGTAAATCTGACAATGTAAAGGGAATATTTCAATAAAATCCAACCAGGTAAATGGAAATTAATTCGCTTTGTCTGCAGGTTTGCTGCGGTGGGGATATTTCCATTTATTTATGTTTGATATAAATACCTATTCACATAACGGTTTCTATTTATGTAATCGTTGAAGCTATACCTTCAATCTCCAAATCATTATTATAATATAGTTAGTAAACTGTACCACGGTACAAGCAGTTGGTTATGTTGTGCTAGGTTACTGAATTAATCAAACGATCTTTGCATAAGAACATGATTAATCAATCTCCATTTAAACACTTTTGCTTGTACTTGTGTGATTTTTATGGCATTTTAATAGAGTCAATTTTAACACTTTTAAAGAAAGCAGTCCAACCCCAATAAAGTTTTGGGGATGTGTCGGGAATCGAACCCGTCTCTCCCGCACCGAAGTCTGAGAATATAAGCACTAGACTATCAACACACCCAACCCTTTCATTACCACGAACTTCTTCACTACCCTTTGAATTTCATTCACCCTTTTTCACCAATAAATATTTAAATAATAGTTGTGTTTTAACGGTGTGTTCCAAAAGCTAAAGATCGGATTTATATACAAATCCACAACAAATACCCATTAATGTTAAGTTAATTTTACCAGTATTTATGGATCACATATTTTTTTATTGTTTGAACTAAAACACTATTATTGAGTAATTAAGAACATATACTTTTAAAGATGCCGAGGCACTTTTATCTACAGATACGGGCACCACGCTTTCCCTGCGTTCTTCTGTAGCTTTCTTTACTGTCGATGTTATCTAGTATTATTAAGTTTCAAGAAATTTTAAATAACAAAACAAAATGTCGAACAAAATTATATAAGCTTAGCGAAATAATAATCACAAAACAAATTCAAACTGTATTTAAACCTCATTGTGATCTAGACAAGCAACTAAAAATAAAAATAAATTGACATATATATAAAAATACATATATAAAAATGTTAACGAATGGTGTTTTTTGCCTCTAGGGGCATCAAAATGAAAAAGTAAATTGGTCCCGGGCCTAGGTCTTACCGTGTGCCACCTACGGTAATAGCTACTTCCATATAGTGAAATTCGCTAATAGATATACGTATGTTCCCTGTGCTAATCTTGAGCCCCGGGGAAACTTAAGTAAGAATATTACTAATAAACGTGTGAAAGTTAATAGTTTTCTTCTTTCTGATGCAAACCAATGAAAAACGTACATATAGGATAAACTATAAATGGTATTGGCTTTAATTGTTTATGCAGATTCTACTTTATAAGTTTACCAACGTTGTATACATGTCAAAAGTTCAAGTAAAGTAATAAAATAAAGCTGGAATATAGTTAGTCCCCATTTGTATCATCGAATCCCAAGTGTTGCTTAGTGTGTTTTGACAAAAACTTATACTACTATTTACACGTATTAAATATCGATAAATTGTTTCAACGTGTAAATCAGTATTCAATTTGCTAGTAGAACGGTTCTTTCACTAAAATTAAGGTATTTTACACAATACACAAGTTTTTATTTTGTTTACGTTATACTTTTCTTAACCTAATTAGAGTTGTTGGTTGAAGTAGGGATAACGTCAATTCATGACTAAGACACTTTTGGGTACGTTTTATTAATTAGTCTATTAACCCCCAATCTTGTCAATCAATGAGCATTTTCATCAATTAATTTCGTCAGACAAATTTCTACTATTGGAGTTTCGTGTTACATTAAACATGATGATATTGAACTTCTTTAGATTTAATTTTGACATCTCGAAATCGAGTCACTTTGCAGTATTTTTGTATGGTTAGAATGAGAATACAATTTTACATTTACTGTGGTACATTTTATTAATTTAGTCGTACTACTTTTCTATATAAAATTAATTAAGAAAGTGACATAGCTTAACTTTTTGTCATATTGTTCATTAAGTTAATAATTTATTTGATTGTTGTTACAGTGTTCATTTGATCGAGAATGCTGCAAAGGTCTGGAATGCTTGATGTCAGCGACACATGATGGCATAGGCCTCTCCTGCCAGAGGGCATGGCTGGCCGACCCGGACCGTGGAGACATGGTGTTTGAGATGCCGGACTCGTCTCCGTCAGAGCCGAAGAGTGAAGACGTTGATTGGATGGCCTTTAAATCTGAGGAGGTCAAGGGAAATGAAGACCACCTGAAGAGTATGGAAGACACAGTCGAGAAGATGTATCCCACTGATATGATGACAGAGATAGAGAATCTTCGAGAGAAAAAGAAAATGAAACTTCTGCAAGAGAACTACGAGCTTGAAAAACTGTTTACGGAGAGAGAAGAACAAGAGTTAGAACAGTTAAGAGCATTAAGAGCTGACGCTGAGATTGATCAACTGAGAAGACTGAAAGAACTGAGACTGAAGAGGAAGATGCAACTGATCAATGAACTCAAGGAACTAAGGGGACTTAGAGCGGAGGAAGATTACAACGCTCTTCAAGAGTTCAAGAAAACTAAAAATCTCAATGAATCCATCAATACTCTGTCAACACAAAATGAAACAGACGTAATAGATGAAAATGATAACAACTTGAACCCTAACAGTGTTGCTGAATACCAAACTCAATCGCCCGATAAAGTGCCCGATCCCCAAGAAGGGCAGAACCTACCGAAGCATAAACAAGGAATTCATGAAACCCACCACAAAAGAAAACATCACCATCACAAGAAAAAGAATCAAGGTCAAACTTTAGATCCTTCAAACCAGACTGAAGACGCTAATGCTGAAGATGAAACCTTCACTGAATACAACACAGGATGAATGAAAAAATAAAAACACGTTTTTAAAACAATGTCTATGTTTAATCTAATTTACTTCATGTACATTTTCTTGTGTAGGGATGGACAAAAATTGAATAACTAGTGAATTATTTAAGTATTGAAGAAATGACTGCAAACGAATTTCAAAACGTAGTTGCAGTTACAATAAGTATTTGAAACTAGAACTATTATTCAATTAAGTTTAATCTTCATTTTACTAGTGCTACATTTGATCTTTGATGTGTACTCTTTGCGTGCAAAGCAACTATTGTGGCTGCAACTACAACAAATCAGTTGATTAAAGCGCAGGTTAAGTAAACCTCAATTTTATTATTCCCGTATTATTTTCCCCAGGCTATCAATTCATGAGATAGCAGTTATTAATTTAGTATAAAATTGATCCTTACCACAGTACTGAAACATATCAACTTGTATCTTTATATTCTACTGGTTATTTGCTTCATGGCATACTTTTGCATTCAGGTAATCCTACGTCTTATTGCGATATTTCTAAAATATTATGGGCGTTTATAAAAAAGCTTTTCAACTTCAAAGAACCATAAAACATTAATTTACACTTGAAGCTATGAAACAACAATCAAAGTCTAGGGAATCATTTATAGTTTTGGTACATAATAGGGAGTTTACTTAACACCATTGTGTTTGCCATTATTAGCACGCAAATAGTCAAGTCTAAATTCCAGTTCGTATCAAACACTATCTAAAATGAAACAATTTATTTCAGCAAATGCTCTCCTGATTATTTCTCTGAGTTTTTTCTTTGTTGCTCACATTACTATCATAGACGAAATCCTTCATAGTAAATTCATAAATTCATAGCCGCCCACACAAAAAATTCACAATAGGTAATATCTAGTGACGTAGGAGACCAGTTAATCAGAACCTACAGTCGGGACCACGTAAGTTTGCAGTTGAGGGAGGAGAATATTTACCTTATGGTTTTGATTGAACCAATGAGAACCATGCTGTGTTGCCAAATCTAATAATACCAGCTGATTTGAAAATATTGCTTAGTATATTTTAATTAGTGTTGTCAACAGGCGATGTGGCAACGTCGCACTAGCCTTGTCTTGTGATTGGCTGCCACCAACTGCAAACTTACGTGGTCCCGACTTTAAATATGAGCATCCATTTCGATTATAACGAGACTCATCAATTATTTGTTATTGTTTACAAAGCAACAATATAAACCTATCAGCTGATAAAACTGCTATTGATTAAAACTTTTAGCCACTCTATTATGTGGTGTTTTTAGAAAACTTTTATTTTAGGTACGTGGAAAGAGAATGGGAGGATGGTAAAGCTGTCGAGTTTTATTTTATAAACACCCTGTATTCTTGAAAGATAAATTAAATAAATCTCAGTGAGTTTCATATCGAAGAAGAATTAAAATGCACATAAAATAACGTTGGATTCAGTTCCTTAAATAACAGAAACATTCTTCAGACAGTTCGATATTTGAATAAACTAGGAGCTCCTTATAATCTCAATCACCGCTCAGTGAAGGGTGGCGAGGGGATGAGATTGGAGGCGGGGTAGTGGCTATTGTCTGACCAACCGGGCAATCTTAGTCGCTCTGAGAAGTCGCTCAAATTAGTGATTAAACCCCGCGGACCGTTCACAACATCTCGTAGCAATCTTGGCTGCTTCCAGATGGTCGAAGTTTTCATCATTCCATTTCCAGTTATTGATAATTGTAAGCGTTGGATACTGAAGGTAGGTTATTTGTAAGATTTCAAATCTTGCTAATAGCGTATACACAATCATGGAACTTTCATCATTGTAAAGTAAATTGTGTAGTATTATTTTGAAAAAGATGTTTTATATTGCAATTATTAATTTAGAAAAGCAAGTCAGGACGCATTCACGGGCGAAATGTGGTTCCATTAAAGAGAAGATCTCAAGAAGATTTCTTCAATGAAAAATCGCAGGATGTTTTTGTAACAATTAAAACATTCATGTTCAATGTATATTTTCAAATTCTATTTGTTTGTAGAATCCTGTAATAATCACCTATTTCCACTAAATGCACACTTCAACTGCACATAGCTCCTAATAAGCTAAATTATGAAACTGTGCTCACAACTATTGAATATTACCCCTTTGAAAACGTGAAATGCGAAAATTAATGAATCTTTGTAGGCTACATTAGGACTCTGGTTTCGTGAAGGGGTACCGTTTTCTGATTCGAAATTATACATTCAAGGTCTTTTAAGTTTGGTCACGTTTACCTCCACGGTCAGAATTTGGATAAAAGTGTGAGATAATGATAATGTATTATCTCACATAAAGAGCAACAGTCCATAAGCAGAAACTCGTACCTTCAATCCTCTATTTTAAATCAGCAGTATTTTTCAGACAATTATTAAAAAAAAAAACTAATTTCATAGCGTTGATAATTTGGTAGTCTGTCATAATTTAAAAAACGTTAATATGTTTAAAGTTTTTTAACCACTTCTATCTTAGTGGCTACTCTTAGGCTGCGCTAAATCTGTCAAATTAAATAACTATTTTTCGTGTTGTCTCATAATGTTTGTCACATAATTCTACTTTGCCACACGAATATCAATTCTACCTCAGTATATTTGGTAAGCTATTCCATAGGTTGTATTATTTTGTAGCGTTCAATTTATTATAATTGAAACTGCTTCAGGTTAGTTGGTAATGGACAATTGGGTTTGTCGTTTCGGGTTAGAACCTCTCTAGAAAGTGGGGGGAGTATTTAGTGAGCCCCTATGAAGGGCTCATTACCCTAGATCTGTAAAGTGGCCCGCATCCAGCCAACGCTGTAGCTGCACTGAAGACTTTTCACGGCCAATCTCCCATCAGCCTCGATGTCGGTGAAGACTCTACTGCTGTTTTACACCATCAGGTAACTTACTTTTCGTGTCAATGGCTTAGTTACAGTAAAACATTTGTCGGCCACCATGTAGCGTAGAGCTGCATATACGATAAAATAATGAATTCTCAGATTGAATTTTAATTAGTAAAACTACTTAATAGTGGAAATAGCCAGCTTTTCAGATGAATTCAAGTAAAGATATCCAAACAATTTCCCATAAAATCAGGAAACCTAATGATTTAACATAGTATGATGAGATTTGTTCCCAATAAGATTTGGGGAAGATTTGTATGGCAGTAGCCGAGAAATAGTTAATTCTATATGTAGCACAAAATAAAGCGAAACAAGGCCAAGCATACAAATAAATAAATAAAGCTTCTGGTTATGATAGCCAGGGTTCGCCTAGTTTTGCCTTAGTGTACAACTAAAAATCTTAATGTTTCAGCTATTTCTTATTCGACTCTTTTTAAACGGTGTGTCGTTTGATAGGGAATTTAAAATTATAAATACAAGTGTTCTTGATATTTTTTCATAGAATTTACCATTTTTCAGTAGTTTAAGCTAAAAAATTTAAAATGGCCGCCATTTTAAAATTTCTAATTGGACCGACTTGATATTTTTTCTTTCATAGGTTTTGTCTACCTTAAAGTGCATACGAGGTTTCATAAAGATCGGTTGGAAAAAATTAAACATGAAAACGTGTATGTACAAAAAATTGAAAATATCTGGTTAACGATGTTTTTGGGAAAATTTTATTTTTTAGTTTATGTTTATTCTGATTCATAGAACCATTCCCCGGAGTTTGGAGGTTTACTTACGTGACACCCTGTATTACACTCAAAGTTTCTTTAATTACTGCATGTAATTTTATGTATATTAGTGATTGTATTTAGTTTATATAATTTACCAAACAAACCTTAATGTTTCTATAAATGAGTATATTTAATAAGAATATTGCTGTTTGTTTGTTAACAGCATAATGCTGTTTATAGAAATTAATGTTTTTTAGCCTTTTTTAAATTTGAAACTCCCCGTTATCGTTTTGACCCATCCGGTGTTCAAAAGGCAATTTAGCAATAGCTTAAGTAAGGCTAAAAAGTAAACTTAGCTATTTCATAGTATTACCTTTATAGCTTGCGCATTAAATAGGCTAATTAAGTGTCTCGAAACACTAAAACCAAATTGTTGTTTAATAAAATGTAGTTCGTCCAAAAAAGCAAAATATTTTTATTTTTCATTTTCAAAACATCTGCAGCATAACCAACTATTATTCGTAGTTAAGCTGTGTATTCTCTTGCTATCGAATGTTTAGTTATGTATACAATTAATTGTGAAATTGACATAATATTTGATACATTATTCGTTATAATTTAAATAACGGCATTAATAGTAAGTTGGCCTAAGCATTGAACCAAATTTGTATGCAAATTGTTTGTATTGAAGTAGAAAGCTACTTGGTAATTTAACCAAAGGAGCTAATGGAGTTTTACATGTATCCAATTTTTTGTGATAGTGTGGTCAGCAGTCAATATGAATACCCAAGGCCTAATCCGCCACATAGAGTGCCCGGGGGACCCAAACCGTACTCCTGGCCTGCCCGTTGCTTCCCTCGGGTCCATTGTGACCGCAATGCCCGGTATCGATCTCTGGACGGTTCCTGCAACAACCTCTGGTACCCAGCCTTCGGGATGGTTAACACCACCCTAGTGCGCATCTTGCCTGCCCGGTACTCCAATGGTGAGTATAGTAGTGCTTGGGAGTTGCATAAAAATACCATAAAGAAGGATTTTCATTTCATTTCATGTCTTTTGTCTTGTATATAATGTGACAAAAACGGCTGATTGGTAAATTCAATGAAAGAAAGAGTATTAACCTCAATAGATTCTCTGATGCTAATATTTTTTTTACTTATGCAATGAGCCTGAAATTAAATTTTTTGTGATATTTTAACGGGTTTTATTAAACTTAGCATAACAAATTTAAAACAGCCGCCGTTTTGAAACTGTTTAAGAGCTTTTACCCTAATTTTAGACAAATTAGGCAATTATTAAAATGAGCATTTTTACAGAATCTCAACATAGCCGTTTAGAAGTTATGCATGTTTTGTAGAAACACATAGAGGCAGAAAGACGCTGAACGGAACGAGATATAATAGGACACATGTTTATGCACACCTTTTTTGTTTATTTTGACCAAAGAAATCGCTAGGTAAATTATGTCCCCTTTTTTGAACAACCTGTATAATGCATTTTGACTGAAGAATGGATCAGTATGGAGGAATATTATACTAAAAAATAAGTCGTCTCAGTCATTGTAGTTAGTTAACGTTAAAATTATTTTATTTAATTTTCAGCTGTTGCATTGAAGGAATATTGAAATATCTCGTAAAGAGTATTAATAGTGCATCGTGTTTTCATACATTCCTATATTCAAATTGTTCATCTCTTGATTACTTTTGTGCTAGTAGGACTTTAGCGGCAACTAAATGCATTGTTTTTGGGGTCGATTTCAGTGCTGTATATAATTGAGTAGTAATGTTTTCAAACCTTTTAACCCCGTTTACTAGTATCAGGTAGGTAAACGCTTGAAATTTACGCGTGGTATCTGCAACTCTTATAGGATGATAAACAAGATAAAATCGTTCATACTCTAAGAAGATATATAATTTACCACTGCAAATCAAAAAAACTTGTTTGCTGCAATATGTCTTTCAGCTCTGGGTGGTTTACCTATATCAGTAACTGGGAAGCAGTTACCTTTGGCACGAGAACTACGAACCCATCTGTTCCCCGAACACGCCATCAGTGACGGCATCAACAGCTTGGCCGTCATGACCTGGGGACAGTTTCTGGCTCACGACGTATCTCTCATAAAGACTAATCGAGGTATGCTTGTGTTTATTGATTTACCAACTTCTATAGTCAGCAAGTATATTTTACAAATTGAAAAGTACTAATATTCTATCATGTCTGTGTTCAAATTGGTTACCACAACAAAAAGTAAAAATATAAATAATGGGAACGCAAATAGGTACACACACATCCAGTTAACAAAAAATCACTCCTTGGAACTGAATGTCACTTACTGAGGTGTAGCATTTTTAAGTAGGTATTGATATCAATGAATGTTCCTCCCAAGGAGCGAGATTCGAGAATTGATTCTTAACTAAGCGAAGAAAATGTTCTGCAATGTTGGATGCCAGGAATTAAGATTAACTTAAGTTGGGAGGAATTTTCTGCAAGATGGGTAGTCCTAGGTGGACAAATTTGTTTTGTATTCTTTTTATATTGTCTGTTAGCGTAGCTGTAATGATAGCTACGGGGTGGGGGGGGGGATATGACTCAATACTTTGGGTATCAAAAAATATAATCTAACTTGGTGAGAAACATGACTCAACATTTTGAATACAATAAAGTGGGTTGACTTAGAACGAAGCATCACTTAGGACTTAGGTTGTGAAGAAAGAGGATCTAACTTGGGAGAGTAGATTTTGTCTCAGCTCTTTCTGTATTAAATTATGTTTTCTGATATTCATCTTTGTTAATTTACAAATTCACTTTTCTCTTTGTCTACTTCAAGCTCCAGACTGTTGTACGAAGGGTGGTCATTTGCTGGAATCGCCTTTTCTTCCTCCTCATTGCCTCGTGGTAGAGATCCCAGAAAATGACAAGTTTTACAAAGAGTTTGGCCAGACATGCTTTGCTTTCGAAAGATCAGCAACCATCAATGAACATGGCTGCATAGATAGTCCGCCTCAGCAGGTAACTGTCTAATTTCCTGATCTTAGCAGTTTTACAACTGAATTGTTTAATAAAGCTAAATTTTTCAAAAAGAGAATATTGCTCAGCAATTTCATATAGACAATATTCTTTGACGATTGCCAAATAAAAGAGAATTCATTCACATTTTACAATTCTTAGAAAAACTGTACTTCCGAACATCTCATCGTCTCAAAAATTAAAATGTGACTCGATAGATTATTTTACTATCAATAAGTAGAAAAAGATTATTGATGAGAGATGGCAAATAAAAAAAACTATTAAGTTAGTCTCCCTGTTGTATATTTTAATCCACAAACAAATGAATTTTGTGCTATCTTAAACTATTACAGCATTGGTTTTTCTTCATTTCCAATTTGTGTATCTCTTTGAGAACAAACAGCATTAAAATATGGTATAAAAAGGTGAGATAATAGTTCTATTCTTGTAACATTAACTAGTGATTTGTTTTAATATTACTAAGTTGAACCATTCAATACTCATTTTATCCTAAGTCCTAGATATACAAAGTACTTTGAATTAAATTTCAGATTTCGCTCCAAACCCACTTTTTAGATCTATCCATGGTTTATGGCAAGAGTAGAGAGGAATCTAATTCTTTAAGGACATTTAATCGAGGCAGACTAAAAATACAAGAACTTGAAGATGGAAGAGAATTCTTACCTAATGTCAAAAATGCCAAAATGGCATGTCAATTCGCCAAATTCCCCAACGATACTTGTTTCTTGGCAGGTAAAGGCTTTATCTTGTTACTATGTAGTTAAAGTTTGGCTTAGCTGCTATAAAGGCTTAACACTTTTAAAAACCATGTAATTAAGGTTCTAGAATTGACATACCAGTTTATTGATATGAGAAAACAAACTTGGATCACACAAAAAACGATCTTGTTTTTACCCCAGACTTATAAAAACAATTGAAATAGTGGGGATTTCTTTTTGATTATTTACCAAGTTCCAATTTAAGTTGGTAAAATAACCTTTGAAAAGCAAAGGAAATAAAGAAACTGATCACAATAAAGACTTTTTTTTAAAACACCATTACAGTTAGTTGGTTGCCTTGTTTCTAGAGATATACTATTAAGTTCAACAAAGGTTCACAAAAAAAATCTTAAATCCTCTTTTGATTTTTACCTTCTTTTGACAATTACGATAATAGTAGATGCAACAATTTAAATTGCTAAAAACTATTATATCATACCGTTTAACACAATTTACTTTGTGTCATGGAACTAAAGTTCTAGTTATATTAAATGACTTTTATTTGTTATTATTTGATAACAGGAGACGTGAGAGTGAACCAGCAGCCTTCGTTGACAGTGCTGCATACAATCTTCCTCAGAGAACATAACATGTTGGCAGATCAACTCTACCTGCTCAACTCACACTGGTCCGATGAACGAATCTTCCAGGAAGCTCGGAGAATACTGATTGCTCAGTACCAACATATCACTTATAGTCACTTTTTGCCGTTACTGTTAGGTATTTATTTGATTCCTTTACATTTACTGGTACCATTTACCAAGGCATTACATTACATATGACATTGCTTATGATAAATGATTGAATATGGTTATGGTATTCAGAAAACTTTAAAGATCTCATTTTCATTTTCAAGGTACATTACTAAAGAGGTAACAACAATTAGTTGAATTTAACAATTCTTCTGCTACAATAGAAATAGTTTAGTTTTACTTGTATGGATTTTCCCATTGTAAGGATTATTGAAGCTACTTTAGTACTATTCCCTCATGTAATTTAGTAATTTAGATAATAAATGCCAACTTTGTAGACTGTTACAGTATATTTTTTATATTTTGTTTCTTTGTATTTTATCCCAATTTTTATTATTTTTATTTTTAATATTAATGTTAGAATTGTATTGTAGCTTTTCATTGTACCAGGTGCATTTAAATGAAAATAAACATGAAAAAATAACCGATTGCCCAGTTTATTTAGGAAGTCGAGCTGTCAGGAACCCCAAGAGAAGAATATAAAAAGACTCTGATTTCCTTAGTCAGCCCTAAAACATAATGAATCATACAATTAATGTTAAATAACATGACATGTCATCTCTTTTTATCCAACAAAATCTGTTTGCCAAAAGAGATTGGCTGAATTAATAAAATAATCAATTGCAAGGTTTGATGGTTTATTTCACATTCTACAAATAAACTTATACTGGACTTTTTTGATTGTGTTTCAGGTCTTGAAAACACGATTAAATACAAACTGTTTCCCCGCAATCTGGGTTATGGATTTGGGTACAACGAACATGTGAATCCTGGAACCCTTAACATTTTTACAACAGCAGCTTATAGATCTCTTCATAGCATTGTACCTGGTCGAATTCAGTAAGTACGAGTATTTCTACGTCTAAATGAGTGCATTTTGAAATATTGTTAAATGTGAGTTAAGACAGTTAAATGAGGACAGACCTTTTTATTTTATTTATGGTTCAACTAATATATTTTTAGTAACAAAAGGTGAAGCCTAGTTTATAACCAATATTTTATGTTAAGATCATAATCCTGATTATTTTTAGGAAAGGGAGAAACGTATGACTGACTCAATCAACCTTAAAGGAATTTTCATATCCTCCATGGATACCAAACTGCCGCTAAGTTCCCATGACATATTTAACACTTCACTAACAATATAAATTTTATTTCACAGTAGGATAGGCCAATACAAAATTATTATTACTTTGAGCTGACTTATTTTAAGCTGAATACCTATGATTGTGAGATTAATTTACAGTGGAGTGAGATGACCTGTATGGATTTTTAACTGACTAAAATCTGAATATTTGTAGCCCGAATTATTCATTAAAACCCAATTAACAAGTAACCTCCTCCAGTTTCCAAGCCCTTTTTCTAATATAATGAAAAACCTACTGACTTCTCAGGATCAAACCGATACTTTTTGATGGTCAGGAGAACACCTTAACCACTCAACCATGTATACTAAGAGATGGGAGAGAAGTATTTAGAAAACAAAACTTGTTATTTGTTTTTCATCAAAATAATTAATTTGTATACATTGAATATTATGTGTATATTTTACAGGTTTCCAATGGAAGTAGGGGAGTGCCCACAGTCCTCTCGGCCACTGTCAGACCTACTCAACCGACCTGCTGTTGTTTTAGAAGAAGACAAGTTTGATAGTCTTCTGAGAGGACTTTCAAGGCAAGCTGCTAATCAGATGGATCCCTACTTCACTCATCAGGTAGAGTATTGTAAGAAAGTGAAGTGTTGAGAACAAACCACAAGGTAGAATTGAAAAATATTTCAACAAAAGATTGAATACAAGAAAGAATAGTTATTTGTGCAAATAGTGAGCAAAGTGAGCAATTGACTCACTCGAGAGAAATACTCACTCACAAGCCGTAGGCGAGTGAGGAATGATTTCTCGAGTGAGGCAATTGCACTTTGCACTCGAGTTGCACATTATATTTTTCCTACAGATACCATAAAACAAATAAATTGGTAAAGAAACGTAACATATTTTAACACAGAAATGAACTTTTAATATGACATTTAGTGATACAACAGTACAACAGCTGACCAGCTGATTTACAGCCAGTGCTGCCAACGTATTTCGCGCGCATACGACCTTGTCTGCATGTTACACGCTCACTATTTTGTGCCTTCACGTTGCAAATCTAGAGTGAGACAAAGTAATTAGAGTGAGACAATGTAACATTGTCTCACTGATGAGCGAATTGGCCACTTTGCTTTCTCAAATCAGTGAAAGAACATGTACATTGTTGAGTAACTGTAGGAAAAATTACTTATTGTATTTTACTAAAGAGTTTAACTGTTTAGCAGTGATCTCAAGTCCATCCTTCTCTGATCTGGAGAGTCAAATTTTGAACGAGGAAATACAATACTGTTGCCGATTAACTAAAAGGAACATTAATATAGTGTTAGAAGAACCAGAAATAAAGGTGTAGAGGTATTTAAGAGGTGATTTCAGAACAAAAAGGACAACATATTCTGTAAATCTAAAACGTTAGGCAGTGATGAGCGGAATTCCAATAATGTTTTAAATTTCTTATAACTCATGAGAACATTATAGAGATTTTATATCATAAATTAGGTTAAATATCCTTGCCAAGTGTGGATATTGTCTGTTGTCTAGGAACCGTTTTGATTTTCTAGATTACCAACTTACTGTTCCGACCAGAGGGTCGTAAGTTTGGCATTGACCTAGAGAGCACTGACATCATGAGAGGGAGAGATCATGGACTACCGAGCTACAACACCGTGCGGAAAGCATGTGGTATGAGACGAGCAAGGCACTTCCACGAATTTGAGGATACCATGACCAAATCGGTTAGTTTACAATTGGTTACTCAGTTCTAATTAGTTCTATAGCAGTCACATATTTTCATACACTTCTCTGTTGTAGTGTCCATTTTTAAATCATTAGTACACATGAAGCTGGGTAGGTGCACAGAGATGCAGGGTACAGAGGAAACATACTTACGGCACAACCGTGCGCTTTCAGCTCTAGTATGTTGTGCCGGAAATATACTCGTGACGAGCAAGGAAGAGCACTGTGTGGAAATTCCTATCGCACAGGGAACAGGGTCTTCCTCCACCGTGGGCGTTGTAGTACATGAGAGGGCGAGGAGGGTGTTGTTGGACATTTCCCTAGACACCTGCCACTAGTGCTAGACACCACTTGAATGTGCCACTGAATGTTTCCTCTGTACCTTCTCTGTGGTAGCTATAATAATGCTTACCTAGTCAAAAGGTCGTTGATTTCAGTTCCAATATAAAATTCAAGGAGTATTCTTTGTATGTAGAAGCTTTGACTATTGATACAACTAGACATTCTGCCCCCATGTTAAAGTTGTCACCAGTTTAAATCTAAATCGTCGTAGTTGATGTGAGCCACAGACAGATTGTGCTCATCTAAATTAAAAATTCCTGTTGAATACATGAACCATTTTACCAAGTCAAACTAGTGGAATGATTCATCACCTTGGTTATCAACAAAAAATTAGGTAGAAAATAGAATTCTAGACACCAGCACAATCTATGAGTGGTTTACACCACTATGCCCTTTCTTAATAAAGAATTGGCGACAGCTGGTCCATATAAGGTTAAGTTATGTCTGGCTACCTGACTGAAGGCGTAGAACAGGACAAAGAACGATGAAATGAACCTCAATCAATGCCCAACTAGGTAACAGAAAACAAAAAATAATTGTGTGTTCGTCCAATGTGAAGCAAACAAGTTTTTGAATTAGAAAAATGAGCGGTTAGTTTCAACACCTAAGGTCGGCCGATTTGGGTACTAATCTTATTAGGTTTTAAGTACTTTCTTACCTGATAAGAATGAAAACTTGGTTTTTGTATAGATCATGATGGAAAATGTCTGAAAAGTAATCCCTCAAAAAACGTTAACTTACCATCACCAAAAATAAACTTAAAAAATGAAGAATATATTTTATGGTTTTATATATTACATGTTTTGTGTAGGCATGGAAACAACTAGAGCACTTCTATGAACATGTGGATGACGTAGACCTGTATGTGGGAGGAGTTATGGAAGACCTGGTGCCAAATGCTTTGGTAGGACCTGTGTTCCAATGCATTGTAGCGGAGCAGTTTCGTAGATGGAGGAATGGAGACAGGTTCTTCTATGAATTTGGGGGCCAACCGGGATCATTTAGACTTGGTAGGCATATTGCTGAGTTTGAATTAAGATAAAATAAGAGTCAAGTAAATTCCTTGATCTTTTTTTAGTTTTTTTGTTTCTTTTTTGTGTTATCACACAAAAGTTGTATGATAATTGGGACATGTAATGTCAAGTTTAGATAATAAATTACATTACTATTGAATTCTTGAAAGGAAACCACAACAGGGATGTTGAAATATCCAGCATCAAGTTTGTTCATTGTTAGATCCGCCTCAAACGAACCTCAAAAATGTCAATTTCATAGTCAAAACTATTGACAATGTGATGTGGTTGTTAACAATTTAACAAGCCATAAAACTAAAAACACAGGGGACAGCTATAGTAGTTTTGCAAAGTTAATTATTTATTCATCTGAAGTAGTACTGTAGGTCAAACTGTTCCTAACCATTTATCGGACAACTAAGAACAGTAACAGTAAACGGACAACCAGTAAAACTTAGGCAACAAATCTTCTTACTTTAAAAATGTCTTATCTCGAACGTAGTATAAGACAACAATAAATCAATGATATGAATATGTTTACATTACTTCTATTTAACATTAGTACAGGTAAAACTCACCTAAGAAAACATAAAAATTAGTCCATTCATGAAACTTGCAGGAAACGTAGTAATTACCATTAGGTTTTGAAATCTGAAGAGTCCCTAGTGATTGTGGGGGTGGAAGTACCATTTTATGGGGGTTAAAGTTTATGGGGGTAGTGATTTTGAGAAAATATTTATTTATGGGATCCAAGCAAGTGAGGTGTCGTTTTCTATGTTTCTTAGGATGCAGAATCGAAATATAACATAATAAAAGCAATACAACCAACAGTTTATCAGAAAAAGACTAATTTTTAATGAAAAACTAAATATGACAAATAAATTAAGGTAAAATAATCCAGTTGATATCAATTATTACAAAACTGAACATGAGACTGTGTCACATGTTAAAGTTGTGAGGAAAATTAATCAAGAAACTGGTAGTTTCGCCTCTTTAACCACCACGTGTCGTATTGTTCTTCAGCTACTGATGCATCATCACCATCCATGGAATGGTGAGGTTCTCTAACTCGTTCTTCTCCATCGTCGTCTTGACTTGACACTGACAGCTAAGTGAGTATGGGTAGTAGAAAAATATTTCCGTTCTGGTGGTGATCCTGCAACTTAGGGTGAAGATAATATATGAGACCAAGAATGTAAAACCACTCGGACCCCAATTTTTAAGGACCTTGGTCGCCCGTAATGACGTCATCAATATGGCGCTCGTAAGAGGGTGCTTGGTCGCTATGAATTGGTTATACTGTAATACCAAAACGCCTAAACCGATTTTAATCAAATTTGGCTTACAAGTGCTTGAATACAATATATAATCCCAGTTTGTCAATGGTCGAGTTTGATTAGGTCATTTCAAAATGGCGGCCGTTAATCACTAAAATAATTTAAAATTGTTTAGTGTTTTGTTTTATCAACTCTCTCCAGAAATCTGCAGCAATCTTTCATTTTCCTTGCAATCATAGGTCGTGATGCCGTCTCTGTATTTCCTGGAATAGGCAAAATACCCCCACTGCAGCAAACCTGCAGATTAAGTGAGTTTCCTTTTGCCTGATTTTATTTTCAATTAAATAAATTTCAATTGAGTTTAATTAGTACCTAGGTTTGCTGCTACGGAGAGGATAATAAAGTGTGTTTTTTTTATTGAAATATTAATAGCCAAGCTCAAGATAAATAAATTTGCCAAGTTTTATCAAAATATATCCTTAAACGAGCAAACTACAACAGTTTACTTATTCTCCATAAGAATAAAATGAGAATGATAAATTTACAATTTTGGAATTTTCTCGGTAGGTAACCAATATTCGTACAAAAACACTTCAATAAACAAAATTATTGGTTTTTAAGGTATTCAAAATCATCATGGTATCCACAATTGTTTAGAGAGAAATTGGAAAATTTTATGTGTAGAGGGTTTCATGACAAAACCCAATTTTGACCCCATAAATCCCCCCAAAAACCCCGTTCCCATGCTGGATTAAGAACTCGTTAAAATCAATCTTAAGATTTTTTGTCCTTTTCTATATGATATAACATCAAACTTTAACAGCGTTAATGACTGTAGACGTGTACTTTTTTAAGAACGTCAGAACGATAACTCAAGCAAAAATGACCCTATGTTGATGAAATTTGGTAAAAACGTGTAAACCTAAGTTTACTCGAACGAGTTAGCGAACCAGCATGATCGAACCATGAGAACAGGGTTTTCTGGGGGATTTATGGGGTAAAAATTGGGTTTTCTCATGTTTGCCCCTCTAAACCTAAAATTTTCGAATTTCTCTCTAAGCCATTTTGAATACCATGATTGGATATTTTGCTAGTTATTGGTTATATTTTGATAAAACTTGGAAAATTTATTTATTTTAACCTATATATATTTTAATTTAAAAACTCACTTTATTACCCTCCCCGTAGCAGCAAACCTAGTCAACACTAATTAAACTTAAAGTTATTGAAATAGATTTAATTTAAAATCAAATCAGGCAAATGGAAACTCACTTAATCTGCAGGTTTGCTGCGGTGGGGGTATTTTGCCTATTCCATGAAATGCAGAAACGGCATCACAACCTTTCATTGCAAGGAAAATGAAAGATTGCTGCAGATTTCTGGAGAGAGTTGATAAAACAAAACACTAAAAAATTTTTAATTATTTTAGTGATTAACGGCCGCCATTTTGAAATGGCCTTATCAAACTCGACCATTGACAAACTGGGATTAGATATCGTATTCAAGCACTTGTAAGCCAAAATTCATTAAAATCGGTTAAGGCATTTATTAATTCATAGCGACCCAGCATCCTCTTACGATCAACATATTGACGACGTCATTACGGGCGACCAAGGTCCTTAAAATTTGGGTCCGAGTGGTTTTTACATTCTTGGTCTTATATATTATCTTCACCCTAAGTTGCAGGATCACCGCCAGAACTGAAATATTTTTGCTTCACATACTTAGCTGTCAGTGTCAAGTCAAGACGACGATGGAGAAGAACGAGTTAGAGAACCTCGCCATTCCATGGATGGTGAAGATGCATAAGTAGCTGATGAACAATATGACACGTGGTGGTTAAAGAGGCGAAACTACCAGTTTCTTGGTTAATTTTTCTCACAACTTTAACATATGACACAGACTCATAGTCAATTTTGTAATACAGTAATTGATATTAACTGGATTATTTTACCTTAATTAATTTGTTATATTTAGTTTTTCATTAAAAAATTAGTCATTTTCTAATAAACTGTTGGTTGTATTGCTTTTATTTTGTTATATTTCGATTCTGCATCCTAAGAAACATAGAAAACGACACCTCACTTGCTTGGATAACATAAAAAAAAATTTTCTCAAAATCACTACCCCCCATAAACTTTAACCCCCATAAAATGGTACTTCCACCCCCACAATCACTAGGGACTCTTCAGATTTCAAAACCTAATGGTAATTACTACGTTTCCTGAAGTCCTTTAAGTTTCATGAATGGACTAATTTTTATGTTTTCTACTGGTATTTTAGTATAATTTTACCTGTACTACATATCTTGATTGCTAAAGAAATATTATTGACACACACCAAGCTTGGCAACTTCAATCTATGATTATAATTATTAAAATTGAAAATACAGTGACTCCCTTGTGTACAAATGGAGATATTCTGTTATGTCAGTTTAACAATGAGTACACATAATTTACCTGTATGCTATGTATGCTACATGTATACATCATAACAAATTAAAACCAGCAGTAAGAATAATATATCAGTGAACTCTACTGGTTTAGCGGCAAGGTATTTTCCTCATAATTTGTATACACAATAATTGGACAGTTTTATTATTTGTGATTTTTTAAAGAAATACAATGGCGTCCCAAAAATAAAGTTAGTACCTAATTTACAAAGGTAAAATTAGCTAAGCAGTTTAAAAGAACATATAGCATTATTTAATTTTCAGATCAGTTGGATGAGATCCGAAAGGCATCTTTGGCACTATTAATTTGCAGGAATTCTGACGATATTGCAAGAATACAAAGAGATCCTTTCAGTCAGCCTTCCAGCAGGTAATACAAATCCTTAAATTAGTATATAACCCTTGGAAATATAATAGTATATTTCATCACTTGGGTGTAAAGTGTCTCTTTTCAACACAAGCTCAAGTTTAATAGTCGGAAAATGAGCGAGGGTTGAAAAGTCACTTTTTGCCTGTGTGATGAACTATATTTCTCATCATAATACATCATTATTTAAGCAAACTAAGTTACAAAACAAAAATACTTTGGATCTAAAGATGAGCTCTTAAAATAAAGTCCATCTTGTTTTCAATTTTGCTATGGTGAACAAGCAGCTGTTTAGTAAGGTATTGAATAATTCCATTTATTATTATTGTATTGGTGTTCCATTATACTATCAATAAAGATTGATATGTTGAACTATTGATCAATAATTTTCTTGAATTTCTTGGGCTTTCAGTAAAAATTGTTTCCACTGTTATCCATCTTCTTACATTCAACTTAAACAAATTTAAATTCAGTCGAAAATATTAGAACAATCAACTAAAATGGATTGAAAACAATCGATACAAAACTCTGTTACTTCTGATACCAACCATTTGCTTACAATTGAATTTTAAAAGTGAGTAAAATGTTGACGTATTCGACTCCAGCTGATTTCTGCTAGTAGATAAGAGCTACTTTAGACCCACAAAGTCTGTATTGAAATCTGTTTTTCTGCAGTATGACAAAAAATTCTTTTATATGGTTGTTTTGGTTTTAAGACTAATTTTTATTCAAATATATTATCATCATGACTAAACAAAGTAATTATAAAAGTTTACTTTTACTAGGCCTACTAAAAAAAAATTGAACTATAACACTTTTTCTGATAGTTCAATAATAAGTCTTGATGGATCAATGGTCTTTGATCGCAATAGTTCATTTAAATATGTGGATTATCTATTCAAAAGAAATAAACCTGTTTTATTTTTGCTTTTTTCAGGAATTCTCTAATCAAGTGCAAACATATACAAAGTCTCAATATACGGTTATGGAAAGAGCCACCAGAACTATAGTCATAACCGTTAATATTATAAACGTTGTAAATGAACATTGGGCATAAACAGGTGGTCAAACATCAACTTGTAAGTAGACTTTAACACAAACAGTGTTCATGAACAGCTAAAAAAAACTAAAGCTAAAATAATATTCATGAAACATGCAGTTAAGTAATTCTGTCGATCAGTATATAAATTGAGGAGGCACAATTTGAATATCCCCTCAATGTAGGCTTTGGAAGTTTTATTTGAAAAATGTATCTTTATTTAGATCTATTTGTCAATTAAGAAAAAAGATAACTAAAACTTTATCTCTGTTGTAAATGTTGAAGACTCAAGGTAAATAACAAAAATAAACTTAATTTATAAGTAAAAATATTTTTCAAGCAATTTGTGTAATTTATTACTTACCTTTATAAACATATTCTTGTCTCACAATCACAACCTATCATACTGAATAATATTGATGAATATTAATTGCTAAGAGGAAGCACTTTAAAGTATTTAATCACAGAACTAAGTTGAACAACTAAAGACAGACCAAAACACATTTCAATACTAGTAAATAATAATTAAGAACTGATCGAACTGTAGATAGTTTAAAGTTATTTTAGTTGTATAAAACGTCTATTTACAATTTTACACTGGATATTTGGTCAGAAAGTAAAAGTTATATAAATGTGTATATGTCATTAGTGTTTTAACAGAAAATTAAATTAATATTTTTGCTCACACCACTTATTTTGGTAGGGCAATACATGTTCTACTATGCTAAGAGGCTAGTAGCATTAATTGAGATAAAAAAATACTTGCTTTTATTTTATAAGCACTTTGAAATATTACATTGAACCATTGATAGTTTTCAAGGTTAAATTGAGTTCTGTTAAGTGGACAATAATGTGGTGCCATCAGTATCAGTGTCTTTGGCAAATCTGAAGAAGTCTGCTCAATTTCCCTATTCTACACTATAGAAAAAAATAGTTTATGATGGAATTGTATTTTTGTTATTACATTTCACTACAGCTTGTCCAGTTTTTCACATTTACTTGGCTAAATTTATTAAACATTAGCTATTCCTTAACTAGTACAACCGTATAAAGCTGTTTGCACGTACATATATAAAAGAGGTTACATTCTAGGTTAACAGTATTAAATAAAACAACAAGTATTTAAAATTAATACTTTATTCAATGGTATACAAATTTACAAAGAAAACTTTTAGGTTCAAATTTAGAGTTCCTCATAATTTATTTTGAAATTATAGTTTTGTGGTTTTTAGTCTAACTTAGAAAGATTCTATATATCTCCTTTTAAGCTACTTCTATGGTAAAAATAATTAAATTAAATTAAATAAAAATCTTTGTTGGCATTTTACATAATTAATTAGGATACTATGGGACCCACTAATGTGTTATTTGTTTGGGACGATAAACATTTTAAAACATACTTATGTATTTTTCCAACAATTTTTAGTTTGCATTACAAACAATATAAAAAAAAAACTGTCTAAAATATTTAATACAACAAATTATTTGAAAACATTTTATCATACTCAAGTAACTTATTGATGCTATTTATACAACATATTGTACACAATGTCGTAATCTTAAGTCATTAAAACCCATAGTACAAGGGCTATCCAGAAAGTAGATTACGTTTTTGTCAGTATCCGCTAGGGGCGGGGCTAGCGCAACCATCTTGGTCTTGGTTCCTTATGCAGCTCAGTCGGCATCTAGCCGTGCTAGTAAGAGGTTTCTGCTGTACTCTGTTGAGTTACTGTGACAGTTTAAAATGTCTGTGTTAATTGAAAATGCCGCGAACTGTGAAGTGCGTGCAGTTATAAGGTTTTTGACTGCAAAAGACTGTAAACCGATGAAAATCTATCAGCAACTTTGTGAGGTTTATGGGGAAAACATTATTACTGAAGGTGGAGTTCGTCAGTGGGTCATCAAATTTAAAAATGGCCAAACTAACGTTCACGACAAACAGCGAAGTGGAAGATCCAGCATTGTGACTGCTGAACTTGTCGAAAAAGTTTATGCCGATGTCCGTAAAACTCAAAAGTTCACAATAATAGAACTCTCTATGGGTTTTCCACAAATTTCACGAAGTTTGTTGCACGAGATCATAACCGAAAAGCTTGGTTACCAAACTGTAACCAAAGAGTCCATTCATTTTTTTTTTTTGCACGCACGTCACAGTTCGCGGCATTTTCAATTAACACAGATATTTTAACCTGTCACAGTAACTCAACAGAGTACAACAGAAACCTCTTACTAGCACGGCTAGATGCCGACTGAGCTGCATAACAAATTTAACACCAAGATGGTCGCGCTAGCCCCGCCCCTAGCGGATACAGACAAAAACGTAATCTACTTTCTGGATAGCCCTCGTAAATAAAGATGCATCACTGAGGCAGCTAGCAAAAAATACAGGAAAACAGTATACTAATAGAAATAGTTTGTGAAATGTGGTCTTCAGTTTTATAATAAAGATGGTACTAAATACCAAGCGTCTGTCCCCCATTAATATTTTTGATAGGTGAAATATGAATTTGTACTTTTTCCCATAGAGTACATTTTAACATTGCTCCAAAAGACAAAGTAGTGTGTAAATGTAATCTTTTCAATATTTCAGATTTAATTTAAAGAAAATGTTGACAGTCTGAAATCAATATACAAAGCACATATCGAGAATCAGTATCATGCTACAAAATGGTTGTCACTGCTTCTCACGCTAGGTATTTTTATGGCAACTTCTCAAACAAAAGCACTAATACCCGATAGTGGCTTTTCTGAATAACACATACTACTTATTGTGCATTGGGTATGAAATTTACTAATTGGCAGACTTTCTCTAATGAAATCCTGTATTTTGGCTGTAATTCTCAATATTTTTGCTTGCAGAAACCTTGATTGTTAAATCAATATTTACACCCTCTTACCTCTTAAACTTACCTCTTAAAGAAGATCATAAGAACGAGGAGCGTACAGTCCACTGGACATCTCGGCAATGCAACAGAGAAATAAAAGATGTTTGACAAATAAATGAAGAGTTCAACTACGTATTAGTGAACCTATTTATTGTCTATCAACATGGCTTAGTAGAATAACTTATTCAACCCAAGACACAAAAAATAAAAAAAAAAGATAAATCCATAGCATTAGGCATGTATTCAACAGAATCACATTAAAACGTATTAGCATTACAATGTGCCTAAGGAAAATTAAACTAGCTATACAGTGTGTAAATTAAGTATTGAAACAAATCTGTATTTTTTAAACCGAAATAGATAGAAATATTCTGTTTGTGGAAATAATTGTTAACAAAGGTTCCGCAACTTTTTACAACAAAAATAGTTTTTACCCTCCTTACAGCGTATGGGGTAGGGGGTGACTTATTTTTTTCAAACAGCAACCCCTAATATGTGACCCCTCATTTTGAAGGGTTTGTCAAAAGAAACACAATGGTGCAAGTCCGAGGTGAATATCTCACCCCCAGCCAAAATGGCTGGTATTCCAAAATGGGTGCTTTTTCATATAAATTACATTTTGGAATACCAGCCATTTAGGCTAGGGGTGAAATATCTACCTCGAGTTTGCGTCTTTGTTTTTCTTTTAACAAACCCCTTAAAAATGAGGGGTCACCCAATAGGGGTTGTTATTTAAAAAAATAAGTCACCCCCACCCCCTACGTTGTTAAAGAGGTTGAAAAAATATTGTTGTAAAAAATTGCGGAACGTATGTAACAATCAATTCTACAAACAGAATATTTCTATCTATTTCGGTTTCAAAAATACAGATTTGTTTCCATTATTTGTGAAACTGATGCTTTTTCATATACAGTAAATCTAATTTTGGAATACCTGCCGTTTTGGCTAGGGGTGAGATATCCACCTCGGGTTTGCTTCATTGTGTTTCTTTTGACAAATCCTTCAAAATTAGGGGTCACTCAATAGGGGTTCCTATTTTTTTTAAATAAGTCACCCCCTACCCTGTTAGGGGGGGGTAAAAATAAATTTTGGTGTAAAAAATTGCGGAACATTTGTTTACAATTATTGCCACAAACAGAATATTTCTATCTATTTCGGTTTTAAAAATACATTTGTTTCAATACTTAATTTACACACTGTATTTGATAACTCAATAATTTGAGTTCCCTATGCTTTTTTAAGTTACATTGTTCTATTTCTCAAAGAACATATTATAAAAATTTTAAATCCTCTTTAATATTTGATTTTTTTATATCCCTACAAGTGTGTTGGTTTGTATCCACTTTAAGAACTATTTAGCGATTTACTGATTAGCTTATTGATAATAGTATAGAAAGATTGTATACAGAAAAGATCATCTTTATAAAATGTTATTCTGGGTGAATATAACTAGTTCAAAAAGGTAGTGAATATTCTAAAAGGTACATAAAGTGTAATTAATATTGGTTCTATTTAATGGTGAGCATCCCCAAGAGTGTTAGAATGATATTTTTTAACTTTAATTTTCCAATAAAATAATACAGTAGACTCTTGCTCATCAGGACTAATGTGGCAGACGTCCGGTCCGGATTACAAAAAATCTGGACTTTCGAGAGTCGAGCAAATATTTGTAAATTTTGCCGTTACACCAAGCGGTTTCATCAAAACATGCGCTAATACAAACGGGAGCGTCTAAAACAAGTTGAAACTCATCATAATAAATTACAGTCGGCTACTGTTCTGTATGATTATTGCAGATTTTGCAAAGAAAGCCTGAAGACGCAAAATGTGACCATCCCAGGTCCGAGTATCCAAGCCGCACATTTATTATTATTTTTTTTTAATTATTTTTTGTTTGGTTTTCCAAGGCAAATACAGTACTGTATATAGCGTTTTTTTTTTCAATTTTGTTCCAGGTCCACAGTATTGATAGCCTTGAAAATTGAGTTCCACCGCTTATAAATTAATTGTTGGTACGTGTTGGTTGAGAAATATCTTTTTATTTAATCATAAATTAAATCACTTATTACTGTGATAATAAACCGTATTCTCCAGTTTCAATATGATTTTTGTCTACTTATAACCTATAATTTTTACCGCCGTGTTATCCGAGTTTTTGATTATCCGAGGTAGTCTCGGTCCCGTTTAGCTCATATAATCGGATTTCTACTGTACTGTGCCACTAAAAAAAAAACCATTTCCGATCCTGACTAGCGGGAGTCCGGACAAGGCCGATCCGGACGAGCGAGAGTCTACTGTATACTATATTTAATTATATTGATTTAAACTACAACTATATAAGAGTAATCTAAATCAAATACAGTCCATGCATGTTGTGATTAAAATAGTGTAGTGTATAATATAATGGGTTTTTTTCCACAGTAAAAGCTTAGCAATGAACCAAATCCTAAAAATGTAAAAAGCACAAATCTTTCACAGTTGTCACTAATCAAAAATAAAATAATAAAACCGACAGGCTACAAAACACAAATAGAATTCATATTTATTTTTTTACATTGTATTTTAAATTTTTGAGGGATTTATTTGACCAAAAAAGGCAAATGATTGTGGTTTAAATAAATCCCAGACCAAGGGTTGCCATTGCAACGTTGGAGAATAAATATCTGAGTAACTTTGGTAATATATTTTTAAGTTGTTTATTACTATGTAAGACAAAACCACTTAGGAAATTTATAACCAATAGTAAAAAAAAACATATGATGAACAAATAGTGCTGGGTTGAAAAATTTACCGTGTAATACAGACAAGTACATATACTGTAGTTAGCCATGTTTCTATTTATCTTAAACTGACATAAAGTTAATACTGTATTGTCTTTTGTATTATAACAGTTGATGACATTTGATGTGTAATCAGTGTGTAAGCTGAATTAATGGCTCGATGTAAAAAATATGCAACAGTTATAAAAAAAAAAACTAAACAATGTAGTGTAATTTGCTTCTAAATCAATTTTTTTTTAGAATGTTGCTGGTCTGTTGTATTTAACTGAAATAGTTTTCTTGTGTTTACAAGTGTAGATGGCTAATCATAAACCAATCTCAACCTGAATTGTAGAATGTAGTATGGCAAAAATTGTACAATATTCTGAGATAAAATGTTGCTATTGTTTGTTACTAAGCACTGCTTGTATTGGAACAGTTGGAAGGAGTTTAACTAAACTTATAGTATTGTGACTTTAGTATTATTAGGAACTAAAGGAAAAGTTGACTTACCTATCACAAAAACTACCTACAGAGACCTCCAAAGGTAACCTATACACTTGCTCTCCATATATTTTGCTTCCTAAATAAACATCCTGACACATTATCTTCAAGTAAGAATCCAGGACTATATCCTGAACACACTGTAGTTTACTGCTGCTTTAATTCCCTTACTTGGGTGAGTACTGCATTGCAAAATTAATATTTTTATAGAAAAATCATATGTGTCATACTTCGATTTGAAAAAGCAATAGTATTTCAAATTACCCAAGAAAAATATTTCAAATACTAAACTACGAGTGTATTATTGCTTACAGTTTTAAACTTTCTCCTCACTATCGTATTCTACATTTCCTAAACTCCTTTGGCAAATCAATTGGCAGTTAAAAGGAAACTTGTATAAAAGTGATTTATGTAAAATGAAAAATATCATTTTACTTATTAATTTTGTGTTTTATAGTAGAAATCCAAATTTGCATATATTTTTTTATATTTATTTACTAGTATGGTAATATTATGCTTTTACAACTAAAATTAAATAAAATGGTAGAATCCTCTTGATTAACAATAGAAGTTGAATGAAGGCCAAGGACCATAATTAATTAATGTCGTCATACATACTTGCTGTTCGATATGTAGTAACAAACATCTTCCTTTATATTTGCAACTACACTGATATAAAATTATAATAGTAATTATTTTCTTTCAAACTACCGATAAACTTCCTATTATAAACTTGTGTAGAATATGTAATAAAAACTGATATGGAGAGATTCCCACATCTAGAGATTAGAGATTCTAGAGGTTGATCCCCATATAATTCTGTAAAAGTCATGCCTACAGATCATAATCATAGAATCAGTCATGTAATCTAATTGTGAAATTCAAAGGTCTCTTCTTCATAGGTATCTTTCAGGTTAATACAAAACAGCACAGAATTCCTGTTTCACACAGTTCGCAGTTCCTTCTACATGAACACCCTGATGATAATACTATTTTAACTATTGGTTTAAATACCTTATTCTTGCAATCCGATTGTTGTCTTCACAACTAGTTTCAACCTGCTAGGAGGTCATCATCAGGTGTGTACAAGGATGATATTACTTCATATGAAGGTCGTCAGTAACAGTTTTTTTACATTCACACAAACACACGACGAAAAAAACACATAGTGCGCACACATATACGGCCGATAAAAACATCGAACTTGACAAGCAGACCCGTGTTGAAAATGCGGAAGTTGCGTCTAGACTGTAGGGTAAACAGCTGGTCAAGCATCACGCGCGTTTTCTTATCGCTGACCAGCTGTTTACCCAACAGTCTAGACGCAACTTCCACATTTTCAACACGGGTCCGCTTGTCAAGTTCGATGTTTTTATCGGCCGTATATGTGTGCGCACTATGTGTTTATTCGTCGTGTGTTTGTGTGAATGTAAAAAAACTGTTACTGACAACCTTCATATGAAGTAATATCATCCTTGTACACACCTGATGATGACCTCCTAGCAGGTTGAAACTAGTTGTGAAGACAACAATCGGATTGCAAGAATAAGGTATTTAAACCACTACCATAGTTATTATTCGCAATCCGGAGGCTACTCACACCACAATATACTATTTATTTTTCTCAGAAACAAATTTTTTCTCCCCTCTCTTGAACAGTAGCCCTTAATTTGAAAAAACTACAAACTTGTGGAAATTTATCATCTGTTTTCGATGAATATTATTTTCTTGGCATTTACATGGATCTCATTAAACATTTTCTATTATATGCAACCTTTTAAATTAACAATTAAGGTTTCAGAAGTTAACAACAATAAGACATGTGAGTACGTAATAAAGGAATATTATCATATTTCTAATACATTTGACTATTGATACTATTAAACATTCTATCCCCATGTTTGTTTTGACCATTTTTTTATCAAAATCGTCGTAGTTGATGTGAATTATCGATAGATTGTACAGGTGTAAATTACTGATTTCGACCAAATACACAAACTAACAAGTCAAACTGATGGAAGGACTCGTGAGATATAGCAACTGTTATGACCCATAAACTATGTCAGTAACCAAAATCAAGGTAGAAAATATCATTTTAGGCACTAGCGCATTCTGTGACTGGCTCACACAACTGTTATTGTTTTGATAAAACATAAAACATAGGTGACAGCTGGTCCATATACATGTGTCGTCTACTTTAGTATCCAGTAGTCAATGCTAATATTTGGCCTACAAAATCTGCTATCATGTAGACAAGTTTCAATTTGCTTGAGGTCTTTTGGACATGAATGCAATTATAGAATTTAATGTTAAATAAATCATTAAGAGTTTTTTTTTTATAAATAATCTTACCTTGAAGCTGTCATAACATTAAGAATACTAGGCTCCATAATATACAGATTTTGAACTGCGCAAATTAAAGCCTGGCAAAATATTTTTTATATGATCAACATTTTTTACTACTTCATGTTTATCTCGTATATAAAAAAAACCAAAAATAATGCTTTAGTAATTTCATTGTTGGAACTGTCTTATCTCTAATATAGAAAAATAAAATGAAGATTTTTAGTTATATCTAAATAATTTATTTGGTCCCTAAATACAATGTAAGGTGGAATAAAACTACTTAATAGTTACATGTAAATGTTTATATATTTTAATTTTGAACCTCACATTTGAAAATATCTATCACACCAATATGTCAGGAAATAATCGTACAAAACACTAAAGACGTTCGCTACCGACATCAAATGCGAACTATGAATGTAGAATAGATATGCCTATACCAAAATTGTCAACTGCCATCAACTTCAAATCATCCATGTAAACTCTATAAGTCTAGCACAAACACATTGGTAAACATACAGGGATGCTATATTTTTTCATATAGCCTATACCAAACTAAAAGTTCATTTAACTAAAATCTTGCATTACATTCATAAACGCAATAAATGATCCTTATCTCATGATGGTGCTCGGCTTATCTATTCTGATGCGAGTATCACGGATAATGCTGTTCATGACTATCAAGAAATATGTACATGGGTGGTAAACTAATCTAAAAGTACTTGATATCCCTAGCAGAAATCAGCGTGAGTACAAGACAGTCAATGGTAGAGGTGGAGATACAGCATCATGCACTCAGAGCTCCAAATACTGTTAGATAAACAAAGTATATTCTCTTGGCCAGTGAGTTAAAAATAGGTTTCAACATCGGTTGAAACACGGTAGCGAACGTGATAACCTACACATCTCCAGTTAGGCCTAATCTATAAATACTGCATCAAAACAACAGAGATCTTCAAAACTTCACATTGAACAAATTTAAAAAAATAAAGGTAAAATTATAACACAGCACATGTGTTATGAAATAGGGACTAGGGACTCCCGAATATAAGTTATTATATAAAAGATTAATTATATCGTTAAGACTGTACAAAGAGAGTTGAGTGGAGAGTTCCTAAATGCTGATGTTCCTAGACTGTCCAGGTCCTAGCTTGCCTGCCTTATCTGTCATCTGCCTAACTTCAACTTGGAACTTCTGGACACACCTAAATGTTGCAAGTAAAATACAAATGTTAATTATATCTCAACTGGTTGGCACTACATAACCTGCTATCAAGTGTTAAGTGACTATGAAATATTTCTACTTTGTGTAACTAAGTGTATAACCATTGGATGAAGCCGACCTAGTGCAAAAGTAAGCCTGCTCTTCCTATTAACACTTTGGTTGGCCTATTATTAAGTGAAAAAATAAATGGTGGTTAAGTGATAGCTAGTAGTAGGCCTAATAGTTAACTGTTTTCTCAATTGCTTTTAAAATATAGAACAATGAGCCTATCCCTCATACATAATTTATATTTCATTATAACAAACTCACTTGAATGTTATGAGATCCCATAGTTTAGTACCCAACAGAATTACATGTCTGGTTCCTTTGGGTCTTAGACTACTAGATAAATGTTTACCTGCACATTTGCTTGTATGAACTTAGTTTTCCCCATAAATTTGCTAAATATTTTTTTTATTGGGTACCTAAGAGATTTAGATGTGAAGTAGTTTGGAGGAGACATTTTTCAAGTAAAATATTTATTAGCCTATGTTAAATCTCAGAGGTGTTACAAAAAATTCTAATTCACAAAAAAATAGTTTAGTTAAGAATACAGAACTGTACGTGACTGAAAAGCTGACTGTTATTAATACTAGGCTAAACCGAAAACTAAATATAATAAAAATAAATATCTTTTTTACAGACCTATCCAGGCAGATTTTATGTTAATTCAATACTACTTTAATTTTATGGTTAATAAATTCATTTAATGGTTTTTATGGTACGTATTGCTTTATTTTTGTTGTTGTGAATCACAGAATGTTTAAACCTGAATACTCTTGAAATTTTGCGTTGATTTCCTGTAAATTAGTATTAATTATATTTTTAAAAACAACACTCGTGAGAATGTTTTCTGCTTCTTGACACTGTTACGAAATCTGACAACTCATTATTTTCTAATCCATCCGACGATATTTTACAAGCATCTTCGACTATTCACATATATTCAACTGAGAGCAATACACTGCAGACGCTCGACCCAAAAATTTACCTCAGAAATTCATTCAACTACAAAAGTAAAATAAGATGAGGAAAGCTTATACTGTGAAACCAACCACTATGAGTAGCAATCAATGATTTACTGAGAGGTAGTGGCAGATATTCAAAGCAAAACGTACCTTAAAAATGTGTAATCTCCAAGGTCTAAAAAAAGGATAAAACAAAAGGAAACCAAATAATAGAGAATACAAGGGTTTTCTTCAATTTATTTAGTTTTCTGTAAAAAGACCTGTTAAAGCTAAGAAATTTTAAAACTGTCTTACGATTATTACAATTTTACTTAATTATGATATGTAAAAATGCGTTTGAGGTTTTATTTGTTTAAATTTACTGATGTTATTATTATATCAAATCAGGGCAACAACTATTTTACTCCTGAAACAAATTTGTTGAGTGTTGATTGATCTGATCAGTAACCATAATGGATTGATGCTGTGTTTGTAGTTATTTACGTATAATTTATTTCTTTATTAAGGGATAGAGTTTAGGTAAGCTAGCTGAACCCTATCACTTGAAATCAGCGTTTTGGCTTTCCATTAAAATATTAACTGTCAAGTTACGTAAAAAAAAATGTTTATTATAAAATATTACTTATATGAAAATAAAATATTAAAACATACCTGCACTTAGGAAGAATGTGGATTTAATATCTCCTCTGGTTGAAGTTGCCACCACCTCCACTATATCCACCAGTGGCTCCTCCTCCATAACCGCCTGAAACAAAACATTGGCCGATGATGACAACTATGCAATAGTATAGTGACATTCAACAAGTGTATACTTAAACAATACCCTCAAATATTTCTCTGATAATTGTCGATTTTAGAATAATGAATTACTTCCCTCGATCATCAACCTAACCTAGAGGAAAACTTTTTCCTTGTCTAAGGGCTTATGGAGGCCTTAAAATATCTTATTAGTAGGGTATCTTTTTAATGAAACTAAATTGTTTACATAATAAATAAACTACTATTAAAATGGGTGTTAAGGGGGGATAAAATATTTAAATGAAGTTCTATCAAAATTTAACAATGACTTACCACCACCTCCACTGTAGGGAGTTGCTCTGGGGTTGGTGTTGGCATTGCCCCTTACAGGGCCTCCGCCGTAGCCTTGCTGGTAGTTGGAGCCGAAGCCATCATTGCCACCCCACTGGCCCCCACCCTGGTTGCCATAACCACCACCAGCATTCCAACCACCTCCACTCATCGGCTGAGACTGTTCCCATGGCCCAGAGTTGCCTGAATTTGAACATTTTTCATTAATGTTAGCCTATAACTTATAAGTGCAAGAACAAATCATTAATCCATTGTACTAACTCACTCCTATAATTAATGAGCAATTTTAGATTCACCAGCATTATCAGATAGTGATTTTAAATTTCAGCACAATATCTTATGATCCACACTTACAAGCAATTTTGGCCATAGTTACAGTCAAGCTGGTTCACTATAGCTGTTACAAAATTCGTAGACAGTGTGCAACTAACACTTACCCAAATTAACCAAACATTCTTACTCAAGATCTTTTAGCTAAATTACATCATAATATAACTAGATTACATTGATTGTGAATCAAATAATTTTGAAAAAAAATAAGTGTCTGAAAGCCTTGATCCTGGAATTGGACAGGTAAACCATTGGCGAGTTGCTTGACTGATGCCTTTTGATAGAAAGTATAGATTCTATCACTGATGTATAGGTTATCATATATATCTTAAACAATAGCAAGTGGGGAAAGTTAAATGTTGCTGAGTAGTAGGCTATACAAAGTTATTAATCTTTGACTTTGAGGGCCACAAAAGAACAAACCTAGGAATTAAGAGTCCTTGGATGCTAGCGGCCATCTTGGATAATTTCAAATAGCTTCTGAAGAGTTAATTATCATCCAAAATGGTTTTTCAAACACCAAAGTGGTTATAATGAAAATATCTAGTATACTGTTAGATTAGAAATGTTGTAAGTTATTTTAAATGTTGTTTGTTATTTTGAATGTATTTCTAAGGGAGTCTATGGAAGCTAACGGCCATCTTGGATTTGCCGCCATAAGAGCAATGTTAATTTTGTTATTTTCAAACAGCTGCTGAAGAGTTATTTACCACCTCAAAATATTTTTTCAAATGCCAAAGAGATTGTAATTTAAATATCTTGTATACTGTGAGATTAGAAATTAGCTTTGTATTTGTTTAATTGTTTTATGAGTTTCATTTTTTTATTGAATCCAACGGTTTATTAGTTAATATTTATCTAACAATTCATTAAATCGGTTCACTTAATATAAGTTTGATGAAAACAAATTTGGAAACATTGCCAATTTGTGACGACCCCACGACTTCAATCACAGAATAGAAAGGTCAATACTAACCACCCCAGCCACTGCCGCCTCCATAGTTGTTTCCGCCGTCCCAGTTGTTACCACCTCGGTTGTCCCAAGGTCCCTGGTTCCCTCCCCTCCCACCTCCTCCACCTTGTCTGTCTTGTGACATCTTGGCCATATCTGCCTTGCTCAGAGCTTTCTTCACATCAATGCGCTTTCCTTTCAATTGGTGTGATCCTTGCACTGAACAGAAAACTAAGATCAGAGATTCTACACCTGACTGAGTTACATACGCAACAAAAAGCTGTTAAAAAAAGTTTGGTACTAAAGTATGACTTGAATTTCATGCTGTAATGCCTACATAATTTCAAGCTTATTAGAGCTCATCTTCAACAGCATTCATATATTTAAAATGAATCACATCAAGCAAATTTTTTAAGTATTTCTAAACCCTTTAAATAATTACCTATACACAAAGTTCTACGGGTTTAAGGACCATAATGTCATCAAACAAAGTAACCTAATATCAAGTGTCGCATAGCATATTTAAAATAATATTGGACACAAAGTTTGACGAAAGATAGCAACCCAGTGCTTGTCCTTAAGATGTTTAATGCTCTGCCTCACCCAGTCAAGATCCATCCAATTGGGCAGTTTAAAACAAGAGTCTGGAATTGGATTTTTAAAAATAGACTTATTACTCTGTCAAAGAATATTTTTTGAAATGCTTCACCAACTTATAAGAGCTCCTTGCGGCTTTGGCCACAGAAAGTTTTTATTTTGTGAAATTAATTTCAATGTAAATAGTGTATTATGTACTGTATGCGGAAATGTAATTGACGCGATTATCCAAAGATGGGCTACAATCAAAGATTTGGTAATGGTAGTGGTAATTGTGACAGCTGGAAATAGACAGTCGCATGTCACGACGTGAAACACTTGTACAGTGCAGCACAGTTCTGTATTAAAGTACTACACCGCCACCCTATGGTGTGTTTGACTACCGAGGGTGTCGGACTAGTAAAAGTCGGATTATCAAGAGCCAACTTGATAAGTACTCATTATTTTATGTACTTGTACCCCTTTGTCTTGCAAGCATCTATATGTATAACAACAGGGTGGCAAAAAAGTCCCGTGACAAAAATAATTTTGAAAAAAAAAGAGTTAAAATAGGCTTACTTGGAACAAAACTACTGGTCATAAAAGCTTGGAATCAGAAGAGATTCTTAAATGTGAGCAAAGGTTGATATGCAAATATATTTAAGGTCCTTATGCTTATGAGTAGAATAGAACGCTGCAAACCCAAACTCATCTATTTAGCCTAATGGAAATTCTTCTCAAACAGAAATCCATCAACTTTTTAATAATATTGACTTATTTTGAACTGGAGACTGAAGGTAATTAAACTAGGGATGGTCAAGTCTCGAAATTTCGGGAAATTTTAAATCTTGTTACACGAGACGAGATTTCTTTCTGGCCGAGATTTTTATCGAGACGAGAATTAAAAAAAAATTAAAAACGCCTGCAGAAAGTTGATGCAATACCCGCAATACAGGAGCGTGTTGTAGTTGTGTTTCCTTTGCGAAGGCGTTCTTATTTAATTAATTCTTTAAATGTAAATATTACTTCAATTATTTTAATAATATTACTTTAATAACATTTGAGAAGTTTTGTTAAGTGTAAGCATTGTGAGTAATGTTTTATTACTATAAAAAGTCAAAACAAGTAATTATATTATAAAAATAATATTGCTTTTATTTTATGATTTATTTTATTTTAGGATAAGTAACTGATATCACTATGTTTCCTAATCGTAGGAATTTTTAATAAGTTAGGCGTGATTAATAAAAAAATGTTATGCTGATGTTTTTTAATAAAAGATTGTAAATATTCTTGCCCTATTATCATTATTTTTGTATTTAAACAGTCATCTAACAATGTTACAAAATCAGGTAAAAATTTTGAACGTGCATTTCCCGTTGTGTATGAGAAGGGAAATCCCGTCTCGAAATTTTATGAGAAATAAAAAATCTCGTCTCATCTCGAACTAAAACTCCAATCTCGTCCATCCCTAAATTAAACCATTATATTAGTTTTAATATTTATCCTTCCTGAAACTTTTTTGCTCCTTGCATACATGTGTAACAATTTGAACGAATAGTGTTTTTAGCCCCTGGGGACATCAAAAAGAAAAAAGTGAATCAATCCCTGGATGGCTTACTGATCCTACAGTAACAGTTTCTTCCCTATTGGGTAAGTTCGGTAATAAACCGATTGAACCCAGATTATTTTATTTAGGAAAAGAACATTTTGCAAAAATAGAGTTTTTAACTAGAACCTTAGATAACCTTTATCATTTTACACAGTAATTACTTCTTAAAACAGGTTTTAAAATGAAATGAAATAAAAAGAAACAGTAAGACTACTATAATTATTATAGTATTATAATATGAGTTGGTAATATATAATATTATATTATTAATATTTATATACCTAGTAGGCCTATATCTCAGTTATGTTTTAATTTTTAAGAGACATTAATTTAAACATAAACAGCAGATGTATAAGACTTACAGCAAACTTTGTCAACCGGGTCGTAATCATCAAATTCCACAAATCCAAACCCTCTCTTCTTTCCCGTTTCTTTTTCGGACACAATTGTGGCAGAAACTACACTTCCAAACTGACTGAAATACTCCTTCAGATCTTGTTCCTCGTGGTCTTCCTTCAGTCCTCCAACAAACAGTTTTTTGACAGTTGCTCCACTTTCAGGCCTTCCTATTTCCTGTGTTTGTGATAAATACATAATATAAGGATTAGGACCACCAACACTTAAAGAACTTTGCAGCAACTATATTAAAAAATCACAATATGTTTAGGCTAATGAATATTGCCCATCTATGCCATCCCATTCTAATTTATATGACTGACAATGTGTATATAAAACAATTCAAAATAAATCCTTCATCCTACCCAGGTGTTTGTCAGTATCCCATCTATCAACAAACATTCAAATTGTTACTGCTCCATTTGTAGGCCTAATGCATTTATCTAATTCAGGCAAAAAACTGTTGTAGAGAATTAGTAAGTATGTTAAGAGAAAATGTGTATAACTTATATGTAGTAAGAGAAGAGAACAAGTTTTTTTTACTGACTAAGATCCCCAGAAAATTTATTCCTGTGTTTTCCAGACAGTATCTCTACTGCAAAGCAACATAAATGAACAGACAAATATGGGTGTTTGATAACCAGTGTTAAAGATTTATGGGCATTATTATGCATATAAAATACACAATTTGGACAGTGAAAAATCTGAATCCTCTTTCCAGAAACAGGCATTTTTATTATTATTTTTTCCTTGACATTGCCATTAAAATCTCACTAACATAATGATATTTTCAATGGCGTTTTTAGAATGTTCACAAAATCTTTTAACATATCATGTATATTTTTTACAACCAGATCGTTTTAAAACCTAGTAATTTTTTTTACTTGAAGCAAAATTTTGTAAAAATGGCACCACAATCTTGGAAATAAATATTTTTTAATAGGGATGGACGGGATTGAATTTTTAGTTCGGGACGGGACGGGACGGGATTTTTATTTCCTTCCTGATTTTCGGGACGGGACGGGACGGGATTTTTTTCTGTGCATAAAAAGAAAGTACTGTATTGTAGTTACCAAAAAAGACATACGAAATCAATTTTTACCATTTGTGGCACTGATCTATAAAAACCAAAAAATGGGTAATTTACAGGTACCTATAGAAACTTGTGACTCGCGGGTCACGGGGTGATCGTCTGTATGACTCACGGTCACGGCGCGATCGTCGTCATGACTCGCAGTCACGGCGCGATCGTCGGTATGAATCGCGGTCACGGCGCGATCCTCGGTATGACTCCGCGGTCACGGGGTTATCGTCGGTATGACTCGCGGTCACGGCATGATCGTCGGTATGACTCGCGATCACGGCTCGATCGTCAGCTGAACTCCGCGGTCACGGCGCGATCGTCGTCATGACTCGCGGTCACGGTGCGATCGTCGGTATGACTCGCGGTCACGGGGTTATCGTCGGTATGACTCGCGGTCACGGCATGATCGTCGGTATGACTCGCGATCATGGCTTGATCGTCAGCATGAGTCCGCGGTCACGGCGCGATCGTCGGTATGACTCCGCGGTCACGTCGTGATCGTCGGTATGACTCGCCATCACGGCGCGATCGTCGGTATGACTCGCGGTCACGGCGTCATCGTCGGTATGACTCGTGGTCACAGCGCGATCGTCGGTATGACTCGCGGTCACGGTGCGATCGTCGGTCCAATAATCGCGGCCACGGGGCGATCGTCGTTATGACTCCGCGGTCACGGCGTAATCGTCGAATCGACTTCGTCTCTTGCGTTCGCGGACCTATCGCTCGCAATAACGGTGTTATCGGCACTCGCGAAGCGGAAAAATCGCCGACGATCGGACCAAATCCCGTCCCGAAAAATTCCCGAGTCAAATGTAATCCCGTCCCGATAATCGGGAATATTTTTTTCCCAAAAAATTCCCGAAATTTCGGGACCCGTCCATCCCTATTTTTTAAACATGGTTTTACAAACTGTTAAGTATTTTAAACAACTTCCTTACATCTTAAGCACAAAAATGATACAAAACTTGTGACATGTTATGCCTGCCTGAATTATAAACTTATACCTACTGTTTATCTGTTTCAAAAAATTTCCCAACGTATTTGAGCTTGGACCAAAGATTTTTCCAAACTCAGCTACACATACAATTATTAATTTATTTTAATTTTTTAATTTGATTCAAAACAGCCGTAAAACCAGTCAACTCATTCCAACCAGGGATTTTTTTCACACTCAAAATTTACTTGTTAATTAAACAAAATTACTTGTTCACACACAATCTGTAAGTTGACACATTTTAGTAAGCCAATATGTTTTGCGTTCCCCATGAACGTATGAATGATGATGATTGTCACTATAAAATCGAGTTTCATGTTATTACAAAAACCAGAGCTTATGTGTTTGATCAGTCGGTATTCGGAACTAGAAACACACTCAGAAGTAATGAGAACCTACACAGTAGGAAAACAAGATTAAAAGGCAGTAAGAAGGAGGATTAATGTTTCGGTTTGAGCTGGCAAACAATCTGACTCCTACTCCAAACAAAATGAATGTGATGGCGATTGTGACAAGAACCTTTTTAGTGTTCTTGTTATCAAGATTTTATGTATTTGAAAGGTGCAAAGAAAAAGTTTATAAATTTAAATTAATATTTTAATATTTTCTACTTAGGCCTATTATATATTATGCAGATTATGCAGAGGATAAATGGGGAATTTTCATTAAATAAAGAAGTTTAATAGCATTTTGATATTTTTGATCTCAGAATATAATAGACAAATATAGTAGGCTGTACAATATAAACAATATATAGACAAATGGCTCAGCAATCTTTTTTATTGCTGTTATCTCTCACTTTTGATTTTTGTTTAACATCAGATTGATAATGTTCAATCATCTTTCTAAAGATCTTTCTTCATGATTTAAGATCTTTCTGAAGTCAAGTATTTGGTAAAACTCTTGCAAAATTTCCTTTGACATTTTTTATGGATAAAATGTGTGTTCCTAGCAAGATGCAAAACAAAACTTGATAAATAACTTCTCCTTGACCTTGAACAGAAGACATGATTCTGGACGCTTGAAAACAAGCCATCAAATTCATTCAAATTTTAAGCTGATAATTAATCCACTGATATAAAACAGGTAACTTGAACCAACATTATAGATTACCTATTCTTTTGTTTTTGTACAAACCATTCACATTAATTTGTGTATTTTTAATTTTAAAAGTTGACAAACTTACAGTTCTGGGGACTGCTCTTTTGGGCTCAACAACTCTCCCATCAACTTTGTGGGGGCGAGCGTTTTGGGCCTCATCAACCATTGACGCTTGAGAGTAGGTTATAAATCCAAATCCTCGAGACCTAAAAAGTTAACAGTGATTACAGCTCAAATAAATGGCAGAAGGAAATATTCATACATATTATACATTAAGATTAGACTCTAGTTACATAAAAAAAAACAATATAAATTATATATGTAAATAAAGTATATAGAAAAACCTTGCCAATTTATCAACGAGATCAGGACATGTTCAGAACACAAGACAAGCGGGACACTTCATTGTAGAAAAAGTTCAAGCGAACGCTTAAACTCAATACTGTATAAAAAATACGGTAACTATAACATTCATAGCTTCATTATTTTTGTGAAGAATAGTCGTGATATGTTACAATTGTTTTTTGTTATTTTCAAATTATCCTCTTGTAAAGCATATTTTCCGGCTTCAATAAAAAATGTAGGCTCTAAAAAAGACAGACCTCTTGTCTTCTTAAAGCAACTGTGTTTTCTATTGATATTACTAAAATCACAAAGATTGAATATCCTAAAAAAATTTAGGTTTGCGTAAGATTCAATAATAGAAGACATGCTAAATGTTCAACAAATTTAAAAAAAGTAATACTTCTGCATTCTCAAAATGTAAAATTTACTTTCCAAAGGATAACCAAAGCATCCAATAACATTTTTAATCCTCTAAATAATGGTAATGTTGTAAATGATTCCTCTCCACAATCGTCCAGCCTAAGTAGTAAATTAATAACCAACCTTTTAGTTTTTGGGTCCTTCATAACCACTACATCAACAATTTCACCCCATTTTTCAAAGTGTGCCTTTAAGGAATCATCAGTCGTTCTATAATCCAAACCACCAATAAACAATTTACGAACATGTTCGGGCTCCTTCCCAGAGGCCTGAAACACAATAAAATGTTTAATATAAGAGAAACTAAATAAATAGTCTTAATTCCTGAAAATATATTTGATAAGCTTATTTTATCCTTAACCCTTCCTGGACGGGTGACGGATATATCCGCCTAAATCTTTGGCGATAAAGGACGGGTGGCGGATATATCCGCTTATGGTTTTTTTATGTTCCAGACGGGAAGCGGATATATCCGCCTTCTCTTCAGACTGACTGGCAGGTGCTTGAGCAGTAACCAGATTTTTCGCGATACCAAGGCGCCACTTTCCTGCTCTTTCCATGGCTGTGCTCTCTTCCACACTCCCCCCTCTCTCTCCCGCACCTCCCCCTCTTCCGCGCACCACGCACCTCTCCTACACTCCCCCCTCGGCATTTCGCGTGTGTTTTATTTATTGTTTACATATTGTTCCTTATTTATTGCCTAACGTTGTCATGGTCATATCTTCAAAGACGGGTGGCGGATATATCCGCTGCTTTTCTACTCATCCCCGGACGGGTAGGGGATATATCCGTATAGTTAAAAACGAGTAAAAAATTATTTTGACAGTATGAAGTGTTCCATGTGTTTATCTTAAGTATACTTGTATAACAAAATACAAATAAGGAAAATTAATTTTTATTTTTTCCTATAATTTTTTCTCATTCTATGTCACATATTTGCCCGTCCGGGAAGGGTTAAGTTAACCTGTACAAAACGGAAAAGTTTTTTTACTTCTTTAACGTAATAAAAAGCTTATAGGCTAATACTTGCGAAATTTGGAATTAAATATTTCAAACATCTGGCAGCTGGAAGGGTTAAAAACGCGATTGTACTAGGTCTAGAACGGAACAACGGGACAGTTACTTGACTTTTGGCACCCTACAAATTGCGAAATCACGATCTATCATTTGAAAACTATCTGGGCTCGGCAGTCGTCAAGATTTTCGTTACCGCCATATGGAATTTTGTTATTTTTTTGTTAGGCCTACTTTCGTGACTATAGGCCTACATAAAAAATAGCGACTAGCCTATTTCGTTACTTTTGTGACCGGTAGACACCCTGGTTATGTTAGGTTAGCTTAACAGTTTCATTTCTTAATCCATAGGCCTATATATATATATATTTTAGTATAAACAAGACCAGTTGTCAGTTTGTAACTTATGTGTTTGTTTGAAGATATTAAAACAGAAGGAATATGGATAGTACAGGAAAACAAAAATATTGATATACTGTATAAAAAAATTAGCCTATCGATAATAATTAATGTTCCCTTTAACAGGAAAGTTGGCTACCCTGTTGTTTGTTACAAACTCATGAATTTTGTCCGCTGGCCGAATATTAGTTCAAATCATGTACATTTTTGTTGCAGGGTTTGTGGCAAAATATAACTTGATTATTGCTGGATAAGTTAGTTATCAACACCTACGACAAAAGGTATGAAAATTTATCCCCAGTATTAGATCTTTCAGACTGTGTTAAATTTCATAACAGTTTTAATAGTTTTCTGGCTACTTTTTGTTGTTGTTACACAACATGTCGTTTGACATGTATATCTATATTATATGTATCTGTTTATTATTATTCTTAGTTTATGTAATTTTAACCAAATGGTCAATGGCAATAGGCCTAAATTTCTTATTCTTATTGATCCGTGAACGGTGGTCCGCACATGGGCCATTGCCAGATTTAGGTTTAATCTGACTTGGGACTTGTGCAATGGGCCAAGTAAATACCTCAGGCCTAAACAATATTGCAATAGGGGTTTTAGAAATGTATCCTCTAGAACTAAATTAAGTAAGTTAATGGTAGCCTGAAGTAAAATAGTAGCCTACTAAATTAATCGTAAGGTTATTTTTATTTATTTTTTTTTCTCACGTGTCTACGCCAGTGGCATTTTTCTAAATTATGTCAAACACTTTTAAGGGAAAGCGGTCCAAACCCATTAAAGTTTTGTGGATGTGCCGGGGATTGAACCCGTCCCTCCCGCACCGAAGTCTGAGACGCTAACCACTAGGCTAGCAACACACCCATTATTATTACGTTATTAAGTTACTTCCATATATACGTTAGGGTAATGTAAGTTAACCTAGGATAGCATATCAAAATAGGGTAGGCTTTAGTTATAAAGGGTAGGCAGGCTTACAACCTGAATTGCTATTAGCTTATATTTAATTTAACTGTACACCCGCGACATTAAATGTAGTCTTAGGGGCCTGAGTAACACTTTTTAACCCTCTTGAGTGTCAATCGTCGGAATTCCGACGACTTTATCTGGACCTGCAGACGCTACACAACTCGATCTGAATGAACTCCAGTTGTAGGCCTACTGAACTGGATTGAATTTTGTGTCTACGGAAAGAGCAGATTCTAAGCTTAAAATCAATGTCTAGTTTCAGATGTATTAACTCTTTGTTATGAAGCAAAGATCTGTTCAAAGTTTGGTTTCATCACCTTTGCTGTCTGCTGTTAGCTTTGATGTTTAGGTTATTGAAACTAACGATTTTAAGTTTAGAATCATTCCAAATTGTTCTTAAAACTATTAGGAGGTATTGATAAAAGTTAAATGGTGTATTTCGTCGAGTTTTTTTTTTAACAAAATATGACAAATATGAGTGATAAGTGGAGATGTCCGTCAGTCAATTTTTTTAGTATCCTTATGGGGTTAGGGTAAGAAACATAATGTCATGTTTAGGTTATCTCGTCATAAATATTTATTTTATTTTATTATTAGGCCTAGGCTACATGTAAGTTAGTCCTATATTTTCTTATTCCTTATTAAATTTTAACAAATTGTAGGCCTATAGGCTATCTTTAATTTTTAATTATTAGTGCCTAAATATACTTTACAGGTCTCGTAACCTTAAAAATAAGTTTGATTTGATTGTTTGGATTTGAACGTATATACTACACCTGCACCTACTGAACCTAACAGATAGGCTAGGTAGCAATTTTATGTTTTAGCCCATTTTATCTAGACTTTCATTAAATAAGACAGTTTAATATGCTGCATGTTGGTGATTTTAAAAATGTGTTAGAACGATTTGTGTAAATGTCTGCAAAACTGCCAAAAATGGCGTGAAATTTGAGCTTTTTTGATAGACACCTTGAGGGATAAAGAAAGCTTCCATTTCTTACAACACTGGATAACTTAACCCTAGCAGTGGCCAATGTTAGAAGTGGGGAATGGCCAACCCATTTTGGCGATTTTGCAGACCATTTTTTGAAAATTCGTAAAAATTCAACCGTACAAGTAAACCTAGCCAACCTCATATTCATTTTGTTCGGAAAGAACAGGAGAATCTAGAAATAGTAATATCATAATGATTTAGACAGTGTATTTTATCGGTAAAGTGAAAAAAATAAAAAAAATTGAATTTTTTTTTTTAAATTTCAAAAACGGCCTCTGCATTTTTTTTCTACGGATTTTTTTATGGGAAATTCATTATATACATTTTGTAGACAATTTAATTCCCTACATAGAAATATATAACATGTTAGGAAAATATTTTTTTTTATAAGTTTTTGGGGCGAAATATAATGACAAACGGAGAACCGAAAAAATTTAAAACCGTACAGTGTTAGTTTATGTTGTAAAAAGTTCTATAATATATGTGTATACTAATAATGATATATACATGTTTAAAAAGCTAATGAAGTAAGGAATCAAAAAAAGTCATAAAGTTTATGGTAAAAATAATTTTTTACCTATAAACATACGTATATAAAATAATGTTTTTATATTTTAGCGATTTCTCGAGAAAAAAATTCACAGTACTTAGTATACAACTTTTGTACCAAATTTGTTTACTTCAAACCAACATAATAATCTTGTAGTGTATTCAATTACCTACATAAAAATGTATAACATGTTAGAAATATTTTTTTTTTGTAGGTACGTAATAGGGACATAATAATACAATAACCGCAAATAAGTGTAAACTATAGCCTACAGTGTTTGCTTGTGTTGTGAAACATTATGTAGGCTGATGATATGTAGCCTACATATTTGTAAAGCTAATGAAGTAAGGAATCCAAAAAAGTCATAAAGTTAATGGTAAAAATAATTTTTTACCTATAAACATACGTATATAAAATAATGTTTTTATATTTTAGCGATTTCTCGAGAAAAAAATTCACAGTACTTAGTATACAACTTTTGTACCAAATTTGTTTACTTCAAACCAACATAATAATCTTGTAGTGTATTCAATTACCTACATAAAAATGTATAACATGTTAGACATATTTTTTTTTGTAGGTACGTAATAGGGACATAATAATACAATAACCGCAAAACCGCAAATAAGTGTAAACTATAGCCTACAGTGTTTGCTTGTGTTGTGAAACATTATGTAGGCTGATGATATGTAGCCTACATATTTGTAAAGCTAATGAAGTAAGGAATCCAAAAAAGTCATAAGTATGATGGTAAAAAGTTATTTTCACCTATGATTATGTATCAATTTGAGAACGCTTTGAATTTTTTGCGCATTTCGAGAAAATGGAGTGTACAGTATTTAGTAGCCTATATAATTTGTTTACCAAATTTTTTACACCCAAACCAATATAAACATGTTGTAGTGTATTCATTTACCTTTATAAAAATGTATAACACCTTGGGTAAATCATTATATAGCATATATAGCACCTCTGAATGTCAGAATCGTCATTTTTGAACATGATGCTAACAAAATACAGTAGTAGGCCTATTTAGTATAGGCTATAACTTTTTTACAAAATTTTTTACCCCCAAACCATTATAAACATGTTGTAGTGTATTCATTTACCTTTATAAAAATGTATAACACCTTGGGTATATCATTATATAGGTACAACAATGTCTGAATGTCAGAATCGTCATTTTAGGACATGATGCTAACAAAATACAACCTTTTATGAACACTATTTCACACAATTCAGTAATATTTATGCATGAAGATTACTGTTATACACACACACAACACTTCACTAACACTAACACTACGAACTAATAACATATTTAGTAATAAATCGCGGATAAAACTATTACCGGCAACAACACAAACAAACAATGGCAATACAAGACAGCTGACAGACCGTAGCAGTAATGACTCACTTGTCGTCTACATGCGAGCATACAGAAATAACCCTGAGTGCAGGGCTGCCACTCTCTGAATCTAAATTTCTTCCTCTTCAAAATGATATACTATATGACTAGTAATAATAACTTTCACTGTATATAATTCGTATTTTCCATACTGTCACCAGACGACTGTTGGCCATTTGTTAGAAATTTCGAAAACAGCTGTTTTCATAAAATCGTACCGATTGTGCAATCAATATTTAGTTATAAATATCACTACCACAATGAAGATAAAATCAATGGCTATCCAGTGGTACCACCCGCAACATCCCAAGACGAAAATTAAACGAGCAGGGTAATGCCAAACAAGACGTGTTTTGCCAGTTCCCAAGTGTCGGCTGCAAAAGTCGTACCGCGCCAAAATTTCATTTGATTTCTAATCGTCGTGACATTGTTATATACCTGCTACAGGGTTTGTTTATGTAATCAAATGAAAGTTCAGAATGTGATCTTTCGAATGGTATATATATTATTCTCATCTGAGTTGATTGTAAGTGTTTTTTTACCGTTAAAAAAATTTCGGCCCATACCGTCACCAGACGACATTGGCCATTCTAAGCATCAACGTCATACCGTCACCAGGCGACGGTTGGCCACTGCTAGGGTTAACTAAGTGTAGGCTACACCTTCACCCACACTAGGCCGAGGCAATAACTTAGGTTTATCTTACCTATTGGTGTGAACCTGGCTATAACTCATCAATAAGTAGTGTGCGCACAACAAACAACAAAATACAGCCGCGTACCATAATAACAATAATGTCACCAGAAAGAGGACACTTTAACGGACACAATAGTATCAAGGTCTTATACCTGGTGAAAAAGCTAGTGAACAAAAGAGGGGTAAAATCAGCAGTAAGTGGTGCACGCCTGATAAAATCTATTGCTGGCCGTTTTGCAGAAAAATACAGCCGCCTACCATAATACCAATAATGTCACCAGATAGAGGGCACTTCAACAGACACGACAGTATCAAGGTTAAATACCCGGCAAAAAAGTTTGTGAAACAAAAGGGGGTAAAGTCAGAAATAAGTATTGTGCGCGCCTGATGAAATCTATTGCTGGCCGTTTTGCAGAAAATACGGCCGCGTACCTTAATACCAGTAATGTCACCAGATATAGGACACTTTATCGGGCACGACAGTTTCAAGGTTATATACCTGGCGAAAAAGGTGGGGGGGGGGGTAAAATCAGCAATAAGTAGTGTGCGCGCCTGCTAAAATCTTTTGCTGGCCGTTTTGCAAAAAAATACGGCCGCGTACCTTAATAGCAATAATGTCACCATATAGACTATATAAGAGGACATTTTGACAGACATGACAGTATCAAGGTTATATACCGTAGCCTACCTTAATAGCAATAATGTCACCATATACACTATATAGAGGACATTTAGACAGACATGACAGTATCAAGGTTATAGCCTATACCCGGCAAAAAAGTTAGTGAAAAAAGGGGGGGTTAAAATTAGCATTAAGTAGTGTGTGCACCTTATATAATCTATTGCTGGCCGTTTTGCGGAAAAATACGGGTGCGTACCTTAATACCGGCACCAATAACGTCACCAGACAGAGGACACTTTAACGGACACGACATTATCAAGGTTACCGGTATATACCTGGCGAAAAATTTGTTGTGAAAAAAGAGGTGGAGATATCAGCGATAAGTAGTGTGCCACGCGCGCCTGCTAAAATCAATCAATACTTAGCTGTTTTGCGGAAAAAATTAGCCGCGTACCTTAATACCATTAATGTCACCAAATAGAGGACACTAATACGCACATGGCAGTATCAAGGTTATTATACCTGGCAAAAAAGTTAGTCACAAAAAAGGGGGTAAAATAACCAATAGCCTAAGTAGTGTGCACGCTTTATAAAATAAAGGGTGTCCCAGTAAGAACGCCGGATTTGAGGAGCGTCTTATCCTTATCTGTATTTCAATATAAATTCCCAAATTATCAGCAATGTTATCAGTATTAGGTCCCATTTGTAGTCATGAATCGCTACACGACGGAACAACGCGTGGTCATAGTTAAAGTGCACTACAAGCACGGAAGCTGCGCACTATTTACGGCCGGGACAATGCACCAAATGATCCATCTGTCCGAAGATTGATTTCTAAGTTCGAATAAATTGGCTCAGTTCTATTCCAAGGGTATTTAAAGTCGTTTGTTTTCGCCAATAATCCTCAACCAATCCAAGACTTGAAGGAGGAAATGATTCGTGCCATTAATGGAATTCAACAGGAAGTGTAAGAAAAAATGACGGAAAACTTTGTCAAGAGATGTCGGGCCTGTCAGTATTTGGCAGGTTGACACTTACAAGACATAATACTCAATTACTAATCGGAGATACTATGCTTTAAGATTCATGTTTCATATTGTAAATTTAGCATGAATATATATGGTTTGTTAACATTTCAAATCCGGCGTTCTTATTGGGACACCCTTTATATTGCGTAGGCCTACCGTAGGTTGTGGGTCAATGTCCCTCTACAGCATTGATTTTTCTAGTCAGCCACGGACTCGCCCGAGAGCAACTGAACATTGCCAAACATTTGTTGGTTACTGCCCCTTACAGTATTGATTTTTCTAGTCAGCTACAGATAAACCCAAGAGCAACCGAACACAGCCAAACATATCTAGGTAGGCCAATGTATCAGTCGGCTTGTGTGCCAAAGTCACCAGGATAGAAAAATCGATACTGATCCGGGGCATTGACCTCGCTTTAGATAGGTACGCAGCTGTATTTTTCCGCAGGTATATAACCTTGATACTGTCGTGTCCCTTAAAAGTGTCCACTATCTGGTGACATTATTGGTATTAAGTTACCGGTACCTACGCGGATGTATTTATCCTCAAAATGGCCAGCAATAGATTTTATTAAGCGCGCGCACTAGGCGCACTAGGGTACTTATTGCTGACTTTAGGCCTACCCCCCTTTTTTTCACTACCGTAACTTTTTTCCCGGGTATATAAACTTGGTACTGCCGTGTCCATTAAAGTGTCCTCTAGCCTATCTGGTGGCATTATTAGTAAGGTACGCGACCGTATTTTTTTGCAAAACAGCCAGCAATAGATTTTATAAGGCGCACGCACTAGCCTACTTATTGCCAGGTTCACACAAGTATCTTATCTTCAGGGTTCAGAAGCAAATCACTTGTGGTACCACAAACCTAACTTAACTTACTTGGCCTAGGACTACACAGTAATTTAAACTCAATACAACTAGGCCTAACTTATAGGCTACCGGTACCGTATAGGAAGCACACCAGGCTAACTGGGCCAAATTAAATTAATTAAGCCTACATTGTGGCATATCTGAGTCTGATATCAATTTCATGCAAAAACATGGCCTTTCATGTTAGCCCACAGGAGCTTTTACAAATGGGCTAATTAAGAAGATTTGAGTGTAATGCACATGCCTAGATTTACAGTGATGGGCAACAAAATCTACTAAATAGATTTGATTTTAAAAAAAGGAGTTTAAATTAACTTTGCCGGAAAGAAATTAAATTTTCAAAATAATGCCGAAGCCGGGATGCTTGTGCAAAACGTTTCAGTAAGGACAGTTTTAGTAGGCCTAGTTGACAACTAAACTACAGTTTTATTCCTGACTCTATATCAGTTGGCAGGTAACTAATGATAATATAGTGTTTAATTTACTTACGGGGAAGTCAGATTTCACCATTTTGTACTAGAATTGTTTATACTAGATGATATTTTTTAAATTTCAGACCTAATTTACGCAAACAAGATAAAGCCGAAACAATGGTGAAACGGGTTGAATTGAAAGAAATTTAATGGCGGACCGCGGACGGACCTCGGTCGGTCCTCGAATCAGTGTTGCCACCTCGTTGTTGCAATTTTACCCTAAAGGCGGGCTAAAATTAGCCTAAATTACCCTAAATCTACTTTGCGTTACCCTAAAAATTACCCTAAATGTTAATATTTGCGTTTAATGCTATAAAACATTGTTAAAATAATATAAATCTTACATAAGGTGGTTAATTAAACTAAATAAGGATCCAATATCAATCAATATACGTAAAATTATACTCGATTCTCAAAAAACCCGAAAAGAAGGAGAAAATGTCGATATTCAGCTCTATCGTATATACGAAAATATTGAATCAAGAATTATCGTATTTTCTTTAATATAGGCCTACACCAAAGCTTTAATCTATACTTAGCAGTAATTTTTTAACACAATTTGTAAACTAATTCTAGTTTAATTCAATTCAATCACATAATTAAAAATCAAGAAGTAATGAATAATATTTAATATTTTATTTTAACGTGTTATAGAATTGAATACAATCTAAAACAGATAATCCACAATAACTATTGATTAGATCGATTAACTTATTATGAAAAATTCATCATAACAATCAATTTTTAAACTGGTTGAATTGCATATGACGGTTTGGCCATAGATAATATGTAATGAACGTTTTTTGCCAAATGTTGATGTTCTTTTCATGTTTTTAGTTAAATTTCCATTGTTATGCTAACTTTTTGTTTTACCCTAAAATTACCCTAAGTCTACCATTACCCTAAACTTTACCCTAAGACTAGTAAATTACCCTAAAAAGGGTAATTACCCTAAAAGTGGCAACACTGCCTCGAACTGTTATAAGGGGGGTTGCAAAGAGACAAGGTGGAGGAGGCAAAGAGGAAGGAGCAGCGATCCCTAAATCACAGTGTACACATAAACAATATATTATATCACCTACCCGGTTGATATAATCAATCCCGATTTAACTCGCTTTAAAACATATAATGATAATTTCCCGTATTACCCCGCATGTATTTCCAGGTTCTTTTCAGGGTCAATGTTTTTCAGCATGATACACCATGCTTAAATAGCTCTAAATCTCACTTTTGTGTATTCATTGCTATTATCGTAGAATGAACCCAGCATTTATTCGATTCTATCATACTATTCTGGAATAATTGAATCTATTGAGGTTAGTTTTAAGACAAAATTATCAGTTTTAAAATAAAAACAGGTGTGTTTGAGCCAATGAACCCGTTTTATCCATGAATCCAGGATCCCATTAGAGATCCAACACACGGTTGAAAAATCCAGGTTTTGAGATAAGAATCCCACATTTCATTTATGTAAACTCTGGGAAGGATAAGGGCCAATAATAGCAACCAACATGAGTGAGTAGTGTAACCACTAACCAAAACAAAAGTCCAATTTAATTTTACCTTGCATGAATTTCGAAAGAAATCCTGTCCTTTTATATACCGAGCGATCCTTATCACGTGTCATGTTCAACTCTTTTAACCTTAATGCCGTCCACATTTTACGTCACGCATTTTTCGTCGTTTTTAACCCCCTCCCTCCCTTCTGTGACGATGCATAACGCAAGCCTAAAAAACCCCACTCAATAAACCCCACTGTCAGATCTTTTCTTAAACAAGGTTGTGGGGTACGAAATCTAACTTTCTCCTGAAGTAAAAAGAAACTGTAGTATTCCCAGTTTCAAGAACAATGAATAGTTAATCAGGTTTACCTTATGTTTGCCAGATTCTGCAGGAGCCTCATTAATCTACAGTCTTTATAAGAACCTGGCAAACATAAGATAAACCTTATTACAAAAAGTTGTTTAGAATTGGTTTTGAAGTAATTATCTTATTAGTATAATTATATACAAAGTTATCTTATTTACCATTGTGTTCAACTGAGGTTACCGAATCCATTCTTTCATGCCATATGTCCTCTATGACTGGAAGATCAGAGCTAGGAGTTGGTAAGACGTTTTGGAACTGTAATATGTTCCAGGCCAAAAATAAAGTGGGACCATAGTCGGCATTTTGACGGGAGCGAGTCAAGGTACCACCTACGACGAGTAACTACTACAACAAACCGATACAAAGAATAAGATGAAGTTGGCTAGTTGCACGGCCAAGTCGGCCACATTTACAACTGTAACTCCAGGTCACTGCCATCGAAGTGGCAACCTTGCAGAGTAGTGTTGTTACAGTTGTGTTGTTTGAAGTCAAATAATTGTATTTGTGTTTCTTCGAATACGATAGCTTGGTTACTGGGCTATGAAAATATTCACTCCAGTTCAAATGTGCAGAAATCGATTTTTAATTTATATTGTTTTAGTTTTCAATTCTATGTGTTTTATTTTTGAACTGTTGATGAATTTATATATTCATAAATTTAAATAAATAATACGCGTATTAATGAGCAGGTGTCACCTGTCTGCCATGCTATCTAATGGGACGTCTGGCGCTAAACAACACTACTTGCGACGTTGCCAACCAGGCCGCGGCCTGGAGTTAAAGGTGGCCGTGCTAATAGTCGGTGACAACACAATCTCTTAAGTGGGGCAAGGATGAGCAGAGAAAAGTTAAAATATTTGAAGAAAAAAATATTCGCAAGAAGTTAGTGTGTTGATTTTGAGGATAACTATCCTCTCTTTTGAAGGGGGGCAGTTGATTTTGCCAAATATTATTAGGATTCAAACTAAACTCGGATAGTCGATTTTCTTAATATTTTGTAATTCTTATCAACCTTGGACAACTGAGACGTCAGGAAATTGAAATGCACCCATAAAAACTTTAAATGTGTGAAAACACAATAAAAACTGTGTTCTATGTCTTCATTTATATTACATGTATATGAACGGCTAGTGGCACGGCCGCCTTTAACTCCAGGCCGCGTCCTTCGAAGTGGCAACGTCGCAAGTGGTGTTGTAACAGCTGTTTTGTTTGGAAGCAGCTATTTGTGTGTTTACGAAAGATTGGTTACTGGACTATATGGCAATATTGACTCCGCTTAAAATGTACATATAGATTTTCAATTCATATTTTTTTGGTTTTCAATTCTTTATGTTTTATTTTCAATATTTTAATAAATTTATGTTTATAAATTTAAATTTAAATCAATAAAGTGCGAATTAATGAGCTGATGTCACCTGTCTGCTATGTTATCTTATGGGACCTCTGTCACTCAACAACACCACTTGCAACGTTGCCAATTCTACCAGGCCGCGGCCTTAGTTAAAGGTGGCCGTGCTAGTGATATCACCAAAACGAAAAACAATTGGCAAACCTGTTTTACAATTGGCAGTACTGCTAATTGATAGCTTCTGCTAGTTCTTATCTAAATCTAGTCTAAATCAAATTTTAGTCTGCTATGTGCTATATGTCATGTAAACATGCACGGGAGTGGTGATTTTTAAATGAATCTTATTCGATAAATAGGATCTTTGATTTTGTATTAGCAAAACGTTTTCCTTATAGGAATCAACTTAAGTTGTTTAACACTAAGTAACTCAGGAGGAATTCGTTCTATTAAGTCTGATATAATGGCTGAAATTACGAACAGTGAAAAGGTTATAGAGTTCTCATCTCTAGGTTGGTTGGCACTCTAATTATTGTAAACATTCTTACGCCAAACATTAGAAATTAATACTGTATTTTTATCATTTTAATTGATTTATTAATTGATTTATATTATTACATTGAAATAAAAAAAGATACCTTTAACATCATAATAGTAGGCAGTCCTAGGCCTAACCTATTTGGAAAAATGCTTGATTTTTTTTTTTTAAGGAGTCTAAATTTTATTCGCCTGTTTAAATGAAATTAATAAGCTAAGACCAAAGTAATCTTTACAAAATAATATAGGCTAACTTAATTTTTGTCATATAGGCTAACTTAACTTAATAGCTCACAATTTCGAAGTAGAGTAATTTTATGAGGTTTAAATAGTCTTATTCAGCTGTTTAAAACAAAACAAATTATCTAAGTAATAAGTGATCTTTAAATAATAAAATAAGTTAATCAAGTTGTGTCTCACAATTAATAAGGAGGGGGTAGGCCTACACAATGCAGAACTGCAGTCCGAAGGAGATGAACAGGTAGTAAGGTTTCTAGTATTATTTCTAACATTTTTGATCAAACTATCCTGGTATAAGTTCAAACCATGTCACTTATTCAATGTGACATTTTGACTCGGGTGCAGATGACATCTTCAGGGCAGTAACGGGACCACTACTAAAGCAGCGCATGTGACATGGTTCGGCCGTGAAGACCATAATATTATTAAGTCCATGCAATCAATCACAGTACCTACTTGTAACATACGGTAGAGTCAATGACAGTAGTGTCTCCAAGACGTCCAAAAAATTATAAAAAATTTTGAATTATTTTAATTATTATAATTCAATCAAAAATATCCCTCTTCAAAAAGAAGAAATTTCCTGTTTAAAGTTTTTGTGATATTTTCAAATATAGGCCTAAAAAAACACTATGCTTAACAGTCTGCACAGAACGGGAAATAAACCACACTTTGCACTTAGGCTCAGAAGATCAAGAACTGGTGAAGGCGAGTGTGAAAGCTCGGGAGTTTGCTTACTGCCCGTACAGCCAGTTCAAGGTTGGGGCTGCTGTAAGGGTGCAGGAGGGAAGTATCTTTACGGGATGCAACATAGAGAACGCAGCCTATCCAGACAGCTTGTGTGCAGAGCGAACAGCTTTGGCTAAGGCCGTGAGTGAAGGCAACACAAACTTCTCCGCCGTGGCAGTTTCTGGCCTTTTGGAACCTGATCAAAAGTTTGTCTTCCCTTGCGGTTCTTGTAGACAATTCATCTCAGAATTTTCAAGGGACAGAGATGTTACGATTTATATAGTTAAGCCCGACCTAAAAAATGTATTGGTGACTTCAGTCAAGCAATTGTTGCCACATAGCTTTCATTTTTGAAAAAGAAATGAATTTTAAATTGCAAATTGATATGGTAGTAGTTAGAAAGTTCAGTAAGCTAAAAAGTAATTCTTTGAGTTACCTTCATAAAGCTAATGCTGGTAAGGTGGTTATTCAATTTGGATCTTAGGCGGGCATCTAGTTATTCAAATTCATGTATAGGACTAACTTAAGTTTATAATGTGATAATTATAATTTTATCCTTAATCAGAGGTGCTGGTAATATATTTATTCATTATTTAAATGGGTACCGGTGGCATATATTTAAAAACTACACTGCTATAAGATGCGTTTACAGCTCTGGAACGAGGTGTGTAGAGACAGACGAGGAAAAATTAGGTTCTGTTGTATGTTTCACCCTTTTACCTATTTATGCTGGGACAGTGGAGTGGGCTAAGCTCAACGAACATTTGTTTTAAAATAAAATTGAGTATTGTTGAATTGAGCCATTAACAGAGTGTAGGCCTACTAGTGCAAATTAACTAATTTCTATAAAATACGCCAGCATTTTAACAAAGCCAAATTGAAAGTACACACTATTTTAAGCTGTAAGCACATAGCATGTTTTATGACACACCAATTAATTATCACTGTAAAAAAACGATAGAAAAAATTATTTTTTTACTGTGGAACAATTTGTGAGTGGCTAAACTATAAACAATAGACAATTCCCCTGTATTTTTGGTTTCTTAAAGAAATGCAATTTGGTGTCCCTGCAGTCTTTTTTCATTTAAAAATTGTTAATCATTTATTATGAATGAGATTGTAAACAATAGACAAAACAGTTTATGAAAATGTATTTTAAATAGGCTAGCCTACTTATTTATAACTCTAAATTATCTAATTTAGGTAGGTAAATCGCTCTTTATGGCCTAGTCTAGATTTAAAGCAACAAATTTAATTTATTGTAAATTCACAGTTTTATTCACCAAACAACTGTTTCAAACATAAGTAAAAGGGTAGTATTGCATTTAATTCGTTTTGTCTCAGAAATAAGTTTTGAAATCTATTAAATTGTGCAATCTGCGACAGGTCCCCTCGTATTACTTATTTTAAGGATCATATGCAAAAAATCCTTTGTGAAATAGATAAATGAAAATCGTATCCACTTTAAAAAAGCTCTTCTTTCAAATTTTTTGCTTGACATACATTCTGTTAAACTTATTTTTAAGTGATATGACTAAGAAATGTTAACTACCTAGGCCTATTTACATTTCAATGATGTACTAGACTTTTCACGATGATGACAATGTAAAAGCAATTACTCCTGTAAGCTTAAGCCAATTGTGTTCAAACTTAAATATATTTTGATAAATATATTTTTTTAAACATATAAACAAAAATGAAAAAAAAATCTTTTGAAAAAAAAACTGTCTTTTAAAAATTAAATTGGTGCAGATCATCTAAGGCTGCACATGTGTGATATTTTTGCTTCTAGTCAGTTATTCTTTAATGGTTTATCAACAAATTGGATGAACAATGATTTGTAAATATTATTATTTATTACTGGACTCTAAATTCCATTCCACAATGAATGTTGTACTTGTATTTCAATTTGTTTGCAATCAATAAATAAAGAAGGAATATTTTTTATAAAACAGCTTTTTTCTTCAACCCCTTAAAATAGTTTAAAAGTTTTCTATGATTACTGTTTTTAGTTTGAGTTTGCCAATATTATGTTTCCTCGGTTACCGGCACTAAGTTTATGGAAGATATCTTTTCTAACATATATTTGCAATTATTATCAAGTTATGTTACTGTTATTTTAATTAAAATCATCTAAAACTATACAACTCAAAGGTGTACCTTTTCTACTATTTTTGTTTACAGACATTTTAAAGGTTGGAAACTATTAGAATTTTAAACGAGGGAACCATCCTCTCTGATGCTATGCAAACAATCAGTTTTCTTGTCTGAAATTTCCAATTTTAAAGTTTGTACTTGTGTGCTACAAATATTACACAACAAAGTAACTGAGCTACCTTTATCTTGCATACTTTTCATTCAGATAAGGGTATCACAGTGTTGAAGTACTTGTACTATGATTTGGTCTTTAAACCTAGCCTTTTAGTAAATAACAAACACTAATTTTACTGCTTTTTAAAATGTTGTATCATGTAGATAATACTGTAGAGATACTGGTACCATTGATTATACAATTTAATGTATAAGCGTATAAGTATGACACTGACATCACTTCAAAAAATTCTTTTTTGTGTTCATGGCCACCCAAAATTTTGACAAAATCAATACTCTCTCCATATTCTATGTACAGTAGACTCCCTCTTATCCGGACACCTTTTAACCGGACATCGGTTTAATCAGACTACACTCGGCGGAAATGACATCTCTTTAACCGGACAATTTTTATCAGAACATTGGTTTAACCGGACTAGATCGGCAGGAAGTGGGCGGTACTGAAACAACTGTTCTCGTGGGAAAGATTTGAGACCAGTGATCACTTATCTAAATACAATGCTCTCCTAAATTTAAGTCGAATATCACAGTAAACGGTCCGTATTAACAAGTTTTTGGGGACATCCGTTTAACCGGATAAAAACAGGGACTGGATGTCGTAATGACTGGATCGTAAGAGGAGTCGTAATGTCTACTGTATAAGGGGAGAAAGTAAAAAACTGATTTAAAATTGTATTAATACACAGGTTGTCCTGGAAATCCCTGGTACCCTTTGTGGATATTTTTTTTTTTTTTGCTACAGGTTAACACATTTCACAATTTAAACATGGATGAAAGTGCACAGGTTTCATTTTGTTTTTTCTGAATTTCTAATCCATTCAAGGTTACTCAGTCAGCATTAGCCGTTTAGATTGTTTCTTTGGCAAGCTGGGAAGAATGGGTAGTGTGATCGGTTTTCCTTTTTCTTTTTGCAATACAAATTGAACCTCCAGAGTGCATATGGTGTTATAAGCGAATTTCCCTATAGGGAAGTAGCTATTACCGTAGGTCTCATGGTAAGACCTGGACCTGGGATATATTTGTCCGTGAACGCAATAACTTAAGTAATTTTTGTCCCATTTTGATGAAATTTGGTTTAAATGTGTAAGGCGGGATAAACTCGAATGAGTTCGCGAACCAGCATGATCGGACCATGGGAACAGGGTTTTACGGGGGACATTATGGGGTAAAAAATTGTTTTTCTCATTTCTGACCCTCAAAACACATAATTTCCCAATTTCTCTCTAAACCTTTTTAAAGAGCTTAAAAAACCAATAATTTTGTATGTCAAAGTGTTTTTGTACGGTCATTGGTAACGGAGAAAATTAAAAAAAATTTAAATTTAAAATTCCCATGTTATTCCTATAGAGAATATTGTAAAATGTTGTTGTTTGCTTGTTTATGGATATATTTTGATCAAACTTGGCAAAATTATTGATTTTATAATAAGCTTATTTTACAAAAAAACGCACTTTATTAGTTTCCTTGTAGCAGCAAACCTAGGTACTCGTTAAACCTAATGTTATTTAAATAGATTTGATTAAAACCAATTCAGACAAATAGAATTTCGCTTAGTCTGCAGGTTTGCTTGTTTTATGGGGTAAAAATTGGGTTTTCTCAATTTTGAACCTTAAAACAAAATAATTCCCAATTTCTCTTAAAACCATTTTTTAGAGCTTTAAAAAACATATAATTTAGTATATTGAAGGGTTTTTTTTACGGTTATTGGTCGCGGAAAAAAATCGTAAATTTAGAATTACTATGCTATTCTTATGGAGAATAAGTAAACTGTTGTTGTTTGCTTGTTTACGGATATATTTTGATAAAACTTGACAAATTAACTTATTTTATACTAAGCTATTGATATTCTACAAAAACCCCACTTTATTACCCTCCCTGTAGCAGGAAACCTAGGCAATTGTTAAATATAATGTTTTTTAAATAGATTTAATTGAAAATCAAATTGGACAAATAGAAATTTGCTTAATCTGCAGGTTTGCTGCAGCAGGAGTATTTTTTTTAAATTATGTTCAACAACAAGGAATGAAGACAAATTCAATAATTCAGAACAAAAGAATGTTGACTTCATTTTTTTTATCAAAATGCATTGATTACTGTGGCTGTTTTTTTTTTTCAGTGAAAATTGATATTTTTTTTAAAAGGTAAGATAAAAGTGACTCAATTTTGGTTGGAATTATTAGGAAATGTAGATTAAGAAACTTCCTTTAAAATGTTTTCAGTGAAGTGTCTTTTAATTGTTCTATAATTTTTTTGTAATTGGAAGGGAGCTTACTTTATGAGTCAATGGTCCTGAACAATTAACCCTGGGGGGTAATTTTAAGCAGTTTCGTTATCTTCTTCTACCATGGTGGAATGGTGTGTCAAAAATTAAATTGGTGCAGATCATCTACACCAATGGCTACCATATTTACCAAGGGCTAGTTATAATTCATCAAAAGCCCTTTGATGTCTTTCCCTAGAAGTTTAGTCGCCATAATACAATTATTGTTACTGGCTTATTTTATTGGAGTCTTTAATTTTTTTACTATAACATTTTTTTTTGTTTTGGATTAATGAAAGCAATCAACTTCTTTGGCGACCAACAAAAAATTCAAAAAATCTGTCCTAGTGTACTGGAAAAGTTTGAAAATATATTATTTGAGCGTAATGAGAAATAACAATATAATTTATATTTTCCGTACATTGATAACTTATTTAAAAATAATCTTAAAGATATAAATATATGTTTTATTGATGGAACAATAATAATCAAAATGACTCCTTAGTAATAAAACTAAAATAAGACAATAAATAAAAAAAACATTAAAATAAGATTCTTCACTGTCTAAATTACAAAAAATTTAATATTTTTTATATGACTAATGCACATTATTTTTAAATCAATCTTAGTTAAACTAAAATTAAAATACAAATAAAACGCATGGAAATTAATTTGGCATTATTTTAGGAATAAATGGGTTTGCATGTTACAAATAAAGAATACAAAGCTGGCATAGTATGTTTCTGTAAAATTTTATCCTTACAATTTTTAATTTAAGATAAATTAAGATTCTTAAAAATCATTGTAAGTTTAAAATAATGAAAATCCACAGTACAATAATTCTAGCAGTTAACAACAAAACTAACAACTCTATCTAAATTTTTTTAAACCTGCTCTAATATGATTATAACAATTTAGGCAAAAAATAATCAAAAGATAACCCCAGACAAAAATGATACAGCTGTACTAATCACGTAACACAGTTTCACTGCCTGTTAATCAATATTCTCTGTACAAATAGTTTCGGATGATCAACTCATCAACTTATTAAAAACCAAACTCAACAAATTCCATTTTCATAAATGAACTAAAAAAGACCTAATCAATTTTATTTTAACTTTTAGTATTCTAGATGATAGTGAATAAAACAAAAATTACTTTTTACTCTAAATATGCATGGACCAATAGCCTCAAGAGGAGTTTCACATCTTTGCCATCTATTTACCAAAATAGACACCTGAAACAAAAAAATAACTTTTTGGTTAACATTTAACAACATGGTTAATGATTTCATACTGTGATTCAACAAGTATTGGAGCTGTCTTACAACTTACACAGTAAACCCTTCACTTATACAAGAGTGAAAATTTAAAAACGTACGTTTTCATGTCCCTGGCCTTTTACTTCGTAGAAACTAAATTTGTAGTTTATTATTATGAGTTTTAATATTTTTTTGGGATGGGGGCAACATGTTACACACATTTATTTGGTTTTAATTAGGTTCTAGGTATTTTTTTCGTATTTTGAAAGTTTCAAAATTCACGAGCACGACCATGACGTGTCCCTAGGGGATACATTTCCCAACTTTCACGCTGTTTTTAGACCAATTATTCATGCCGAAATATATAAAGCCATATTTTTATATCATCAATAGTTATTAAACTTACAAAAAAGGAGCATATTATAATTTTATTGTCATTGCAAACTGACTACCATGACAAAATAAGTCTGTCCCTCGATTTGGTGTCACGACCATTTGGGAAAAATTTTCAACTTTGGAGCACGACAGTGGCAAGCCTGGCGTCGATTGCGTCAGTTCGTTTTAGAGACTAGTTCGAGGTGTACGTCAAGTTTGTAGTGCCTGTCGTTTTGAGTTGAAAGGAGGAAATACAAGATCAATAAAGGCAAGTTTGTGTTTTTTGTAATTTTTGTGTGTCCATGACCGTCCGTACGCAGTCATTCGATGAAGTAGACACGGTGTTAATTTTTGTTTAAGAGATATTTAAAATGCTAGATTAACCTAGAAGTTTGGAAATATTTAGATTATGCCATATAATTCACGACCGTACCGCTTGTCCCTGGCCATCACGTTTATGATTTCTATCATAAAAATTTCAAAAATTAAAATATCATCATATTTAAATGTTTTATACACAAAAGAAGCACACCTCTATAAAAACATAACGATTTTTCGGGTCTCAGGTAAGTTTTTTCGGAGTTATACAAACTAAAAGTAGTTTTATTGGCTTTTTTCCAATTTTTGTTAGTTTTTTATTTTTTTCTAGAAAGACCAAATATACCAAAAGCTTAGTGAGCTGTTTATTGTATAAATGGCCATTGTATAATTGGCCATAAATATAA